CTGATTTTCTCTATGATATTATTAATGTCCAACGGCCATTTTCTGATGCTATTTTTCTATTTAATTAATTTTTGATGAAAAATCAAAGACACACAATTACAGAATTCGAAAATATAATTTACATTTAATCAGTTTTGAGAAAATAATTCTGAACAAGGCAACAAAGATATTTTACACCTTTTGAGAAAACCCTCTTCTCTACTGCCTTCTGTGCTTTCATTGTTAATCACACTTGTTCTTGGAGATTGACATTCTACAGGCTTCTACAATTTGTTGTCTCCATTACCCAGGTGTGTTTGTTCTTATTTTTATTACCTTCATCCCTAGTGTGATTCTAGGGAGGTGTTCATCCTTAGTGGGATTCTAAGGAGGTGTTTTCGTCCTTTGATTTGTTCAGAGGAGGTGTTCATCCCTAGTGGGATTCTACGGAGGTGTTCATTCTTAGTGGGTTTCTAAGGAGGTGATTGTCTTTTTAATTAGTTTACTTTTTACTGGTTATTCTGCTGAGTTGATTGTAATTTGTAAACTGAATTTGAAAGATAGTGAATGGGGAGTCACTCTTGTGTTAAGAGTTGACTGGGAACTGGATGTAGGGTTGGCTATACCCGAACCAGTATAAATCTTTGTGTGTTCTTCTCTTTCCCTTATCTCTTTCTCTTTTCCTGATTATATTATTGCTTCTGCTTTAACAAATTATTGACTCATAAATAAATTTTTAATTTGACATCTATTTTAATTTGTGCATCTATTCACCCCGCTCTAGATGCCATTTGTCTAACACATACTAGGATAGGAAGGATTTTCTACATTAAAATAAGGATTTTTCGCCTTCAGGGATCGAGACTGTCGTCTCGCTTTTCGAGACCGTCGTCTCGCCACTCCTGCAAGTCAAGACTGCCGTCTCGCCACTTGCGAATGACGAGACCCCCTTCTCGTTTGGCGAGACGACCTTCTCGCCATTTTTGCAAGGCGAGACGGTCGTCTCGACCTTGTCAGACGAGACGACCGTCTCGACCTTGTCAGACGAGACGACCGTCTCGACCTTGTCAGACGAGACGACCGTCTCGACCTGACAAGCATGAATCTCTATAAATAGTCAGCGCTCCCCCCCTCATTTCATACAGTTCTTCCACTTTACCTTCTACAACTTCTTCAAATTCTTTTCCTAGAACCTCTCCGAAGCATTTCCGGAGTTTCTGAGAGTTTCTTAAAGATTTTTATAGCGTTTCCGAGAGTTTTCCGGCGTTGTAAAGAGCGAAAGGCTGCCAAAACGCACCCTAATTTTCAAAAAATTAATTAAAGCATTCAAGAAATTAATTAAAGAGCTTGCTTCGGAGGTTTCTTCATTCTCTCCCTCTCTTTATTGCCTTTAATTAAATTGCATGATAGACATTAGGGTCATGTAGTCGTTATTTTAATTCCGTTAATAAAAGGGTAAAAATGTCTTTTCACAAGTTTATTTATTAAATAGCTGGCCTATCATAGGAAACCCGAAAGGGGCGTCATAAGGGAACTAACACTTCCCTTACACGTAACTAACTCCCTTACCTAAACTCTGGTTTTAACAACCAAAGTTGGTTTTCGAAAACCAACATCTTTTTACTCTTTTTTCGATGTTTCCGGTAAAAACATCGGTGACGACTCCAGAAGAACCCTTCAAAATTAGTTCTTGGGTTAGCCCGGTTATCGGACAATCCAAGAACACCTTTTCGAAAACCTCGCCTCTAGGTTCAGCCCGGTTATCGGATAACCTAAAGACGTTGTAACCACACCCATAAAAACGCGAAAATGGAAAAGTCGGAACCATCGCGTCGCTCCGACCGCCTCTTTTTGACGACGACGACAAATAAATAAACCAAGAAATTACGTTTTTATCCTACCTTGTATTATAACATGTTTTAATGCTTGACTTTAATAACTGTTGTTTGTTTATGTTTACGCAATTATGTGAAATACAAACTGTACACAAACCCTTGCACACAACAGTTCCCTCTATACCTGGGGGCAAGTGAGAAATCCATAGGGAGTGGGTGGCAGGTACGGTTCGCTGTAGTGATGACCTTGTGCCTACTAGTGTGATCAGAAACCACCACTCAAGGTGATAACCTTCCTCTTTTGGCACAAAGACTAACTATGGCCTTAATGCTAAGCATGGTCGGAAGGCTGGAGAGTGGGGACCCTATAATGGGGGCACCTTGGGGGCCTTAGCCTTGGTGAGAACAGTTAGAACCTACCTTCGCCAATGCACTTTTCTGCAGGAAAACCCTACCTCGTGATTAAAACGACTTCTCGCCTGTTCGCGGATGATTGAATTGTGTGTGCATTTGCTTGTTGCATTTGTTTGTTGCATAGCATAACCAAACAACAAAAGAAAAATCACAAAAAATATTTTTGTAATAAACACCCTTATCTCAGACAGTCTGCCTTTTAGCTAGCCTGATTTCAGGTTCTTTGTAAGCTAAGTAGCCACACAGTCCGACAGAAGAGATAAGGGACGCTAAACATTATTCTTTCGCATAAAGCCATTTTTATCTCGGACAGTCTGTCTTTTGGCTAGCCTGGTTTCAGGTTCTTTGTAAGCTAAGTAGCCACGCAGTCCGACAGAAGAGATAAATGCTATAAAAAAATCATCAAATAAAAATTCAAATCAAATCTAGAAAATAAATAAGATGATCTCTGACAAAGTCAAATCATTCATATTACATCATATCATGAGTGTAGAAAAACCAAGAGAGAAAAATAAAAAGAGAGAGCACATTTGGCATCATCCAAATAGAATCTCTCATACATAAACAAATCCATATTAGTCCTACACTCAACATGCATTAATAAACTTCTTTCGGGCATTCTAGAAAGTGGTTGGTCCTCTCCCCATCCGAACTCGTGCACAGAAAGCTAGAGCAATGGAAAATCTGGAAGAACAAAATCGTAAGCTTACTGCAGAAGTTAACACCCTCAGAGAGCAAATGACCCAATTGATGGAGGTCGTACGTCAGACTCAGAACAAGGGCGAAGATCAAGCTGAGCACGCCCCTCACTAGGAAGAGGAGGAAGAAGAATTCCTCTACGAGACACATCTCCAGTCTAATGCTCGGACTGCCCGTGTCCACGTATCCAAGATCACCGCCCTAGAAGAAAGGCTAAAGGCGGTGGAAGGGCACAACTTTGACGTCAAGGAGATGGCGGACATGTTATTGGTGAAGAACATCTATTTCCCTTCCAAATTCAAAATCCCGGACTTTCCCAAGTACGCCGGGTTGACCTGCCCAAAGAACCATCTTACGATGTACTGTCGTAAGATGGCCGCACACGCTGAAAATGAGAAACTCCTGATCCACTGCTTCCAGGAGAGTCTGGCTGACACGACTCTCAACTGGTACGATGGATTGTGTAGCAAAGACAGGAAGATGGAGTTTCTTCACAAACAATAAATCTTTCATCTTGTCTTTTCACAAATGATAATTTGTATCATTTAAAGCAACCATATTTGTATTTGCCTCCATCATTCAAGCAAATAAATATAGCCCAAAAAAAATCAAGAGCTCTGATACCACTCTAATAGAACAAAAAAAATACAACAACTTAAAATACCAAATTATGCAGCGAAAATAATTTCCTTAAACTTGCAAGAATCTATGAGTAACAACAATAAATAATGACAGAAATAATCACAGCAAAAAATACTAATATTTTTAGCGTGAAAATCTTTCAATATGAGAAGTAAAAACCTAAGAGTACAAGTCAATCAATAAAGTTTCATTAAGAACAAAAGTATGAGTACAAGAGAGTCAAATCAAAATGCACAAATAAATACCTACAAAGCAACCAATATATCAAAACAACATTGTTCTCAAATTTGAAGAACATAGAAAAAAAAACCTAAAAATCAGTCACAATGAGATACTGATATCTCTAATCACATACCTTAAATTTACGATCCCAAGAGTCAAAATGAAGATCCTTATACCGTGAACCTACTATCAAAATTTCAACTTGATCCAACATATCTCTAATCACATACCTTAAATTTACTATCCCAACAGTCAAAATGTGAACCTATTATCAAAATTTCAACTTGATCTAATACCGAACGAAATGAAAATAGTAATTTTTCTTCTGACACGACTGAGTGAAACTATTTTTTTTTTTTTTCTCTCTTTTCAAAGGCTAACAAAACGTACATATGTAGACACTTCTCCACCTAGGTGAAGTAAAATAAAATGAACTTCTAATTTAATTTTTAGACTTGGGAGTCCAATCCAATCATATGTTATCAGATTTTTGATCAATAATTATCTCACCTGGAGTTTCAGAGGGAGACTATATTGAGTCCTGTGATAAAATACAGTTTATGTATGTAATATACATTGATGACATTGATAAAAATATAAAGAACATAGGTTGATAAAATTTATTTTTAATCATATATGGTGGCGCAGAGTTTGGCACTGCAATGTTTTGTGAAGGAATTTACATATAAAAGACGTGTCAAACCGCGTAAATTGCCTTTCAATGTCCATCGTCGGTGCTGGCAATGGTCTATACGCGTGACACATTTCCATCCGTCCATCCATCATTCAATCTAATGGTCGTGCTTTTATGCAAGTTTTTGTGGCAAGTTGGCAACCAATTCCATGTCCCAATGCTCCTCTATAAAAACCCTCTCTTTCTGCCCAAATATTCAGAATCATCACTCTCATTTGATTGGAGTAATCGAGCTAAACCTTCCAATTTCCCTTTTTGAAGTCTTTGACACATACTATCATGACTCATGTAGTTATGGGATTCCGAAAAAGATAGAGAGAGATGAAGAGTGTAGGAGAATTGGAAGTGTGACATAATGTCCAAGTAATTTTTTCAGGCCTTGTGTGTGTTTTTGTGAGTAAAAACAAGATGGGTGTGTGAAAAAATCCCACTTTTTGGGTTTTCTTTTCAAGAAAAGATTGTCCAATCATTGTGGTTCTTCTTCTCTTCCTGCCAAACCAACGAATTAACTAAACATGTCCCAAACAAGCACGTCCTCAGCTGGTGGTGATACTGGTGCCGCCGTTGAACTTGGCGCTACCTTACTTGGTTCTACTACCGTCACCAGAGGGAAATACACTAGGATATGGCGTAAAAGTTTATACATAAGGTTCCTCATTTCTGTGAAGAAGTCAGCAAGTTCCAGTGACAACCATGAGTCTCCACCATCACCGGACTCACCACTTCCTTCAATACCATACACTTCATTTTCTCCTGCTAGAACCTCCCCTTCCGGATCCTATGTTACAATTGATGTAAGAGACGAAGAAGACTACATTAACAATAATATTGCTAGAATTGTGAAGGCCCAGGACTTGAAATCTCTACATGAGCTTGGTGGGGTTGACTCAGTTTCCACTGTCCTTGGTGGTCAACGTCAACACTCGCAGCAGGTATAGATTCATCCGCGTATTGGTCGTTATGATGATGTTTGTTAGATCCCTTTTGATTTACACTCACCAAACTAAACTATCGAAATTTTTTGTTTGTTCAAGTGTCCAGGATGGAACTACTAACTGTTGTTTCTGGGTGGGTTGAGAGAGAGAGAGAGGTATTTATTAATGGGATTTTGTTTTTATGAACAGGAGGGGAACACCACCATACCATTACCAGTTCCTGAAAAAAACTTGTCCAAATCTTTGTTGAACAGCTACAAATGCTACCGTTGCACAATTTTGTTGCTGTTGGTCTCAGCTGGGTTGTCATTCGCCATAGACTTCAAGCAGGAGGGACCTAAACATGGTTGGCATGATGGTGTTGCTATACTATTTGCTATTCTCCTGCTGGTTCTGGGAAATTCAATAGCAAAATTTTTGCATGAGAGCAAAATGTTGAAATTGGCGAAGAGAAAGAATGAGTTGGAATTCAGAGTTAAACGAGGTGAAGTGTCCCTAATGGTTCCCATATCTGATATTGTGGTGGGTGACACAGTGTGCCTGTGGCCAGGCGATGAGGTTCCTGCAGATGGTTTGCTTGTAAGTGATGGCATCCTTGTGCTGGCTGAGCCTGAGGAAATAAAAAGCAAACACAAGGAGAAGAATCCGTTTCTTATATCTGGTTCAAAGGTGATTGGGGGCCAGGGAAGGATGTCGGTAGCATCAGTTAGAAACAAAACCAATTTGGTTAGAAACAAAACCTGTAATTCTGAGAGGAGGGGCTTGTTGGAAAGTGTGATTGAGGAGCCGATTTCTTACGTTGACATGGCTGCTCTTTCTATCTCTGTACTGGTTGCACTTGTGGTATTAATTCGCCTAATTTATGGAAAAGATGGGAACAATGCAGGGTTGCCAGAAATGAAAGGGAAGGTCAAAATTGGCTTGTTGACGAAAGCCCTCGAGAGGCTTTTTTTGAGACCCCAAGGAAGGGTTTCCCTTTTCACAGGTCTTGTTACTGTTGCAATACTTTGCGTGCAGCATGGAATGCCACTTGTGGTTACAATTTCTCTCAAGTACCAGATTGATAAGGAAATGCCAAGCGACGATGCAGTTCTTAATGATTTGTCCGCTTGTACGACGATGGGGTTGGTAACTGTCATCTGTATTGATGTATCAGGTGAGCTCATATCTAAACCAATGAAAGTTAGCAGAATATGGATGGGAGAGAAAGATATCAGCATTGTTGAGGGACCAGAAACAGAAAAACCCGTGCTTGACATGCTTAAACTAGGGGTTGGTTTATCAGTCCTTGCACCAGAGACTTATCTTTCCCCTGTGTTCAATTCACTTGTCTCTTGGGCAGAAACAAAATGGGAAATGAACTTGAGATCTTTCACTGAAGAAAAATTTGACATTCTTAAGCACAGCAAACTGAAATCTGGCAAAGAAGGAAGCGGAGTTTTGGTGAGAAAAATTGGGGACAGTGAAGTTCTGCACTTGCACTGGTGTGGAGCTGCATCCGCAATATTGGAGAAGTGTTCACAATACTATGATAGTAAAGGGAATTGCCATGCCATGGAAAATCAGAAAATAAAATTTGGGAAGGTGATCCAAGAGATGGAGGATAGTGGCCTTAGTTCAATTGCTTTTGCTTATAGAGAAACAGATGGAGAAGAACTTGAGCAAGAAGAACTGATCTTGTCAGGTCTGATAGGCCTGGAATACACTAGTCAAGAACCCATAAAATCAGTTTTGGAAAGTCTCAGAAATGCTGCAAATGTACAGATCAAACTGGTCTCGGAGGATGACGTCGAGGAAGTGCAAGGCATTGCTTGTGAACTAGGACTAGAACAAGGAGTTGTGCTAGAAGGTAAAAAGCTTCAAGATTTGAATGAGGAAGCTCGATTAGTCGAAGTGGATCGAGCCGATGTAATGGCAAGATTTCTTCCTGAAGACAAACTTCTCATGATACAGTGCTTGCAAGAGAAAGGTAAGGTGGTTGCATTCATTGGGACAAGGATGATGAGTAGTCATACTTCAGTTCTTAAGGTAGCTGACGTGGGGATAGTTCGTGATTCTCTGAGCCCAAGAGTGGATAGAGATAGTTGTGACATATCTATCAAATGTTTCAGTGCATTGGAACCCATTGTGATGGCTGGCAGAAGTAAATACCGCAATATTCAGAAGTTCATTCAACTTCAGTTGACATCTACAATATCAGGATCAGTCATAACCTTGATTACGACATGTGCTGGAGATTCCCCCCTTGCACCATTCCAGTTGATTTGGGTGAATGTTTTGATGTGCATTCTGGGGGGCCTAATGATGGTAATGAAGTTAACCAGAGAGGAACAGCTTGCTAAACAACCATCTGATGATAGGAAACAACATATTATAGCCGGAGAAATCTGGAAAAGCATTGCTATTCAGGTATTATATCAGACTTCTGTATCAATGATACTTGAGTATGGTGGACATATTACTGACTGGGAGAAGAAAGTTAGGGAAACCATGATCTTTAACACGTTCTTATTGTGCCAGATCGTCAATCTGCTGAACACCATGCAGTTGTTGAGAAAGGATGTTGCCAAGGTGGTTGTTCAGAGCTTCTATTTCTTGGTTGCCTTAGGTTGCTGTTTTCTTATGCAAGTGGTGGTGATAGAATATGCTAAAGGCCTAGCAGATTGCTTGCAGCTGAATGCTACGAGATGGAGTATCTGTGTCATGATTGGTGCTCTTGCATGGGTATTTGAGTGGAGCATGAAGAATATTCTTTCGGTTATTTTCAATCCTAGAACCAATTCAGAATCAATTACTTCACGTTCTTTCTATCCTTCTCCATCTTTTACTTTTCTGACGCTACTTTTGTTCCCTCTAGGACTAATTTTTACTCAGATAGGCATGAACATATCTCTTCGTTAGTGGCAGGCATATCAACTTGACACGCCCAACGACTTTAGTCATAGTATAATGTTACTGCTGCATATGTATGCAATTATTTGTAGCAGCACCTTTGTTTATACTCATTGTATAGTAATCATGTTCATGCACTACCTATGCATGGATGAGCATGTAGATAAATTCCCCATGTCTATTCCCCAGTGAATCAATGTGAACGTAAGCATTACAGATTTATTGTATGTAGTTTCACTGCAACTTCTTTTCTGTCCATGTCTCTGCAATGTCTCAACGTATGCATCACTCATCAAGTTTGCCTTGGAAAAAGTAACAATAACGTAGACAGTGAAGCACTAATAAGTAGCCCTATTAATTGACTCTTTTTTTTTTTTTTTCCTTCTTTTGTAAACTCTCTTCCAAAACTTTTTTGCATTTCATATCTCGAACATGAAAAATGTATAAATTATTATAAGATAATGCTGCCAAACTATCTACTTCATCCACATGCATGTTAAATATAAGAGAAAATTTTAATATATATATATGTGTGTGTGAAAATATTTCGTCAAAACACCTTCAAATTCTTAACACAACACCTATGTGTGTGTGATATGACCATTTTACTTCTAAATTAATTGACAATGACAATAAGTAATTTTTACAATAAAATATTTTTTCAATTAGTAACATTTTGCAAATGTTCTCTCACTCTACCAGTTTTATTATCTATCTCTGTACTCCACTATGTGTAGCTCTTATTTTACTCTTGCTTTACTTTGGATAATTTTATTATTATTATTATTATTATTATTATTATTATTATTATTATTATATTCATAAAAATAGGATTGTTGATTAATCATTCTCGAAAAAAGTAATTGCAAAATCTTTTTACACTATATTGGGTTCCTAGATATATTAATTACTTTGTGAAAATGTTTTATTTTGACTGTATCAATGAAACTTCATTCATGTTTCAGTGAAATTTCATTCACACTTTCTCAAAAACATCATCTACCAGTATTAACCAACCAACTTATAATTATGCCTGTATAGACTTTTGACATGGTGAATTCTATACATGATAATATATAAACTATTTTAAAGATAACTTAAAGTTGGAAATGATTATATATATATATATATAATGTATAATGGACACGTTACCCACAATGAATTTGTCAATAGAAAATATTAGTTAATGAGACTATAATAAATTATGATTAGTTAATGATATTCTAATAAATTATGAGTTCTTTAGAAAAAATTCAACACCCTTTTAGTTTTTTAATTTATAATAGTACTGTAACTAAGAAATAGTGTACATAAGTAAAAAAAATGTATAACCTTTAAAAAAAATGATATTTTTTGACATTTTCCTAATAATTATGTCAGTTGTTCATTTAAACATTATTCAGTTTCTAAATTTTTGTATTGAAGACTTTAACAAAAAATTTCCACAGTACTTTTTGTGTTTTAAACTTTGTGTAATGTGTTTTTTTTCTCCTAATTACCCTAATTGTCATTAATACAGTTTTTCTTGCTTTAGGGTTGATAAAAAATAAATAATGTCATGAATTTCAAACTAACACTTCTACCATATTGTTTTCATGTTCCATATGCCATTTATAGCATTTACAGATCAAATTTGATTCTATATTTTTAATAACTTTTTAAACATGTTATTCAATTGTGATTTTTCCACTGATTTTGAACTGTTTGCTTAAAAAGAAGGTTTTTAAGTTTTCACACCGAGCAAAAGATCATATCTTCTAAAATCCCACGATCTACTACCCACATAAACCAAACTTGTAATCTAGCAAAGATGAGCTGCCACCTTGGGCTTTTGGTAGCCGAGTATTCTGTGTGGTTTCAGATTCTCAGTAACAACAACTGTTTTTTTTTTTTTCAGAAAAGAAGAAAAGGAATGTGATGGGTCACGGGTATGCACTGTTGAATTAACCCAATCCAAGCTATCTCTGATTCCAAGATAATATTTTAATTTTAATTTCAAGACTTTGGTGGACCCTTTTTGTGTGGCTTACATTAACCCTCTCGAAAGCATCTGAGGAAGAAGATCTTTGCATCCACGTGGCAGAAGGAGAGCCAGTTTAGGAGCACAAAATATCAGCCTGAGAATCCACATCCGTATCTATGACCAATGAGGTGTTGCTGAGTTGTGCATATCCTCATCCACAATATCATACCACTTCTCTCACCCTTCTATAAACATTTGTAGTACCCTTATTCCTTCTCCACAACACAAGACACTCACAAACCAAAGAAAGAAGAGGCTTTGCCAACACAACACAACCATGGCCACCTCTGCTTTCCAGCAATCAGCATTCGCTGGTCAAACTGCTCTGAAGCAGGTGAATGAGTTCGTCCGCAAGACCGGTGGCTCCGGCAGAGGTCGCACTAACATGCGCCGTACCGTCAAGAGTGCTCCTCAGAGCATTTGGTAAGTGCCCACTTTCATGCTTGCACCCTCTTCTTATACTACAAAATGTTAGCATTTGATATTACATGTTTATCAAAGTTACATGCAATTCCTTGCTTTCATGATTTTGGTGTTGTTTGTGAATTAAAATTGGAGTGTTACCTCACTAATTTACCATATAATTGTCTGCATTAAATGTCAAACTCTAATTCTGAAAGAGAACACAACACAAAAGCATCTATTGAGCTGTATTTGTGTTTTGTACTGGCTAACTAGAAAGCCAGTGATTATGCGAGCATAATATAACATAATAGTTATTGTCTTGTGAAGATAAAAGTAACATTATGTCTCAACACACTTGATATGAAGTGGGGTGTTAGCTATATTTGTTTGTGAATGTGACTGATTTTGCATGAGGTGGTTGTGAAAACAGGTATGGCCCTGACCGTCCCAAGTACTTGGGTCCATTCTCTGACCAGATTCCATCATACCTGACTGGTGAATTCCCTGGTGACTACGGATGGGACACAGCTGGATTGTCAGCTGATCCTGAGACCTTTGCCAGGAACCGTGAGTTGGAGGTGATTCACAGCAGATGGGCCATGCTTGGTGCTCTAGGATGCACCTTCCCAGAGATCCTTGAGAAGAATGGTGTGAAATTCGGTGAGGCTGTGTGGTTCAAGGCTGGTGCACAGATCTTCTCTGAGGGTGGGCTTGACTATTTGGGGAACCCAAACCTGATCCATGCTCAGAGCATCCTTGCCATCTGGGCTGTTCAGGTTGTGCTCATGGGGTTTGTTGAAGGATACAGAGTTGGTGGAGGACCTCTTGGTGAAGGCCTAGACCCTATCTACCCTGGTGGTGCCTTTGACCCTCTTGGTCTTGCTGATGACCCTGATGCATTTGCTGAGTTGAAGGTAAAGGAACTCAAGAATGGTCGGTTGGCTATGTTCTCCATGTTTGGTTTCTTTGTTCAGGCCATTGTCACTGGCAAGGGCCCTATTCAGAACCTTTTCGACCATGTTGCTGATCCTGTAGCCAACAATGCTTGGGCTTATGCCACCAACTTTGTCCCTGGACAATAAGCATGTCAACATGTGCCTTTTCAATGCAATGCAATCTTCTGCTCCTGTTTGCAGTTTTTCCCTTGTGTTTAACTCCATTTTCACTGATGTAACTACTCGTGTGTAGCAGAAGAATCTGTATGAGAAAAATTATATATTACAAGTTTGGATCCATGACTTATCAAACTCTTGATTTGTGTTGTTATATGGTTTTCTATTTTCCACATAACCTGAATTGAACCAACTTTTCCTAAATGTTAATTAGTTCAAACATTGAAACCATGTTCCTAGAATCTATCAGTGTCAGTACACCATCCAATTCAAAGTTGTGATTGAAAACATAAAAGAATGAATCCATCACCCGTTACCAAGAGCAGCCAAAGCCCAAAACATGAGAATGAGCAGAGTATTGTCTGACATTTTTGGCCAGCATTCATTGTATCTATTATCTAAATGCATCAGCATTGTAATTGTGGTGTTAAAAGAATTCAAACTATGATTTGAAAACAAGAGAAGAGATACTCTTTTTTACCACTTTCGTCTCTCATTTGGAAAGAATGCAACTAGCTTAGAATTTAGACCTTTTTTTTTTAATCTGTCATTTCTTTGTGATACCAAAACATGAACAAGAGATCTTTTACCGATTTCTTTCATAATTTTGTTCTTATTTTTTTTATCGTGTATAAAAGCATTATAAGTTATGTTTTATATTGAAAATATAAAATAAAGATTTATGATAATATTTTTAAACAATTTATTATTAATTTTATTGTAATAAAGTTAAAAAAATGTATTTCTTCTTTTCTTCTTTTATTCTTATTTAATTTGATTTGTTTATTTTTATGTAAAAAAAATTAAGTAATTATTATAACATGTAGAATTTCTCTAATAAAATTTGCTTCATACAATTAATACATTGTTTAAACATCTTATTAAATAACTTTTATTAAATATACTCTAAAATAACAAATTGGTTAACAAATTGGTGAGCATTTGAACTAGCGGATAAATTTAATTTTGAGGTAATAAGATCATTTTTGAATTTTGGTAAAATTTTAAAAAATATTAATCTTAATTTGAAAATAATGATGAAAGGATATATTAAAATAAGTAAGATTTTAATAAAATGTTAAAATTTAAGTATGAATTTAACGATTGAATAATAACATATATAAGTGAGTCGGATGGAAAGTAATATAATGTATTTTTATACCACAGTGGTGCTAAACCCACTTAATTATTATATAGTTTTTATCAATATATATTCGTTATATTTTCACAAATTTCGTTGCTCGGGGTTGGCGTTCAACAGAATCCTCTGATTTCCATTTTCCAGGGTAATTATGGCTTCTGATTTTTCTTCACTGAAACTGCTCATCATCACAAATCTCTGTATTCGATCAATTTTTATGAGCATTCTCTTCTGCTTATTCTTTGTTCTGTGTCCCGTTGCTGCCCTTTGTTGTAAGTTGTAACAATCTTTGTTTGGCGCTGTATTGAGGAATGTTGAACGTAACCTTCGTTAGGTTTTCCTTTCGTCAATTGCCACTCCTTATTTGCTTAATTGCATGGAGTAATATTAGTATTTATTGTAATTAAAATTAGGGATGCGCTATGTCCCATTGGAATATACGCATTTGAGTTTTTTTTTTTTTTATTTCCAAATCCTTTCTTATTCTGTGTTTTTCGGCCAGTACTAACAGACCAGATTCGGCAAGAAGGGAGGGGTAAAAAGAAACACGAAAATGTTTTTCCACATAGTGCTGGAACGAAATATGCAGCTGCATCCACGCTACTTTGGTCGTAACCTTCGTGATAATCTTATTTCCAAACTAATGAAAGACGTGGAAGGAACTTGCAGGTGATTCCGCTTACGATCCTTTCGATATTTTTTTTCTTAGAATATGAGTTGTGCTAAAATGGGAAAGAAGATGAAATATGTATTTTGAGTTTTTTCGTAATCAGGGAATCTGAGTTAATCAGATAACCCTACTATTTCTCCCTTATACACTCCCTAAACATGTGTCCTTTGACAGTGATAAGCTTGTCAGGGTACTTGAAGTTGTGAAAGCTAAACTAACAGTAACTCAATGAATAGGTGCTAACGTTGTCTTGGGTTTCTCTCTTATTGTCGGTTTGATTTTATATTAAAGAAAACATGAAATCAAGTGTGGTTGAAAAGCCCACCTTGAGATAGAAACTTCTGCAATTTCCATAAAGTGACGCTAAAACTGTCACAATACCGACCAACCTAAAAGATTAATTTCCCTTTGAGTTAAGCCCTTCATCCCTGCCCTCTGGCAGGAGTTTTTCTTTCCTCTTTATTTGCAGTATAGCTTTGTTTTGGGTTACATTAAACAATGACATGTGTTATTGTTTTCCTTAATTCTAGTAAATTTTATTCTGCGATTTGATTGAACAGTATATAGTTTAGATCAGAGAAAAGTATTTATCCATAAGTGACTGACTGATTTGAACCTTGGATGGATGTAACATTTGGATTCTCAACTATTATGCAGTGGTCGACATGGATTTGTGGTGGCAGTTACAGGGATAGAAAACGTAGGGAAAGGGTTAATTCGTGATGGGACTGGTTTTGTGACATTTCCAGTTAAGTACCAATGTGTTGTCTTTAGACCATTTAAGGGTGAGATCTTAGAAGCTGTTGTTACCATGGTGAACAAGGTTTATACCGTTCTTTTCTCTTTAAAGTGATTATGCTTTGTAACTCTAACTTGTGGAGATTGTATTTTACGACTGTTGATTTTTGTACAGATGGGATTTTTTGCTGAAGCTGGACCTGTCCAAATATTTGTTTCAAACCACGTAAGTTTGTCTTTTATAATCTGAGAAATGGTCTCTATTATCTACATGTTATATCTGAAACGTCATCACTACTGTTCTTCATTATGAATTGTAAAAATACGTTTTACGTTTATTATTTCTGTTATTGGAATATTATCCTAGTTTTTTATTTTGAACGCTAAAATTATGTTTGTTAGTTATTATTGTTGTTATTGGAAGCAATGCTAGTTTATTTGGCTGTTAAAATATTATGAACGAGGTTGTGGGTTGTCCATCCCCTCAAAAGTACTTGTAAACCTCAAAGTTATCACCATAGGGGAGAGTGAGAAGGTCAGGATTTTGGGCTAGGATAGGATGATCTGATGTACATAAATTCATTTAAATATATATTTTATTTAATATTATTATATAATATGTATTGTCATACCTGTTTCTTAATTTCTTTTATTAATATGAATTACCTTATCATATTATATATATACTTGTATTTTATTATTTATGAAGCATAGGTTGTGCTTACCTTGACCATGAAATGAATTAACTCTTTGATGATTGTACAAATTTGTGATCAGCTCAAATAGAAAAGATTGGTGCATGAATCCAGTTTTCATGAATACAGGAAAAATTACGTGTAGTTTTTTTTTTTTTTTTTTTTTTTTTTTTTTGAGGATGACTTAATGTGAGAACGTAAGGTGGAAAAATGTAGGAGTGAAAATTGAAAAATATGTAACTATCCGAAGGTTTTCTTTCACAAATTAATGCTAATACTATCTTAATATCTTGCTTTCAAGTTCACAAGTACATGGTCTAGAGAATGGATAGAAGAGACATTGACTTTGTTGTATTGACTCATACGACAGAGTTTTTTAGTGTGTTTGGTTCCACATTCTCAAGCACTTACTAAGCTCCTAGCTACACTTACTCAAGGGTAGCTTCTATTATTTAATATGAAAAGTTATTCTAATGTGTTTCTGAGATAATCCAAAGTCTATATGTTTATGACTGGTTCCTTCTATGGAATCTGTTAGAATAGTTATTAAATCTATGTGTAATAATTAAGTCGGAGTAGGGGGTAATGTGTTGGAAACACCTACCAGCTGTCCTACTATTGTACCTAGTTTTGTACCTAGGTGTCTATACTCTTTTGTATCAAAATTTTCATTATAAATAGAAGATGATTAAGAGGGGTAATAAAGCCCTCCAAACTATATTTTCTTGTTTCTTAAAGTTAAGTTGGTATCAGAGCGGATTGATCCCGCTCTGCCTGTCTCCGTCATCTCCGGAGCCGCCGTTTGTTGCTGTTTGTCGTCACAGTTTCGTCCGACGACCAACGGATCTGGATCGCCTCTCCGAGTGATGACCAATCCTGCCGGTCTCGAAAGCGAGTTCCCTCCCACGCGCCTAGTCAAATCGGCTCATTCAAGTGTGTGTTACCCACACGTCGTCTTCTCCGCATCTGAACATTGTCGCGCCACCTCTATGGGTATCGTCGGAGCCTTCCCTTCCTATTATGACCCCCAAAACTCATTTATGCAAATGATATTCAACGCCTCTATAATTCTGCCAACAGACTTGCATTGCTCAAACAAACTAACCATGATATGGTATCCTTCATGACCGAAGCACAATTTGCAATTGAAGAGCTTAAGATGTTCTTGGAAGTAGAATCTTTGGATGAAATAAAAAAGAAACTTGATAAATATTATATGGTGATGATGAGATCAGCTTCTTTCTAGTCATGAGGTCCCTTCCATGGATAGCTTGACCACACACTTCCTTTGAGTCTCAACACCTCAAAGCAAGGAAGTTCATGAAGTGATAGAATCATCTGTCATGGTTGCCACACGAGGAAGAGGAGGACGTGGTACTAGGGGAGGACGTGGTGATCGAGGGCATTCTTAGTGTACCTACTGTAAAAGGATGGGTCACACCCAAGAAAACTACTTCTTCTTGCATTGTTTTCCTGCCAAGATAGCCAATGTCTTTAAGGCGGAAACTGTCAACTCCAGATTCACTGAGGAAGCATATCAAGAGTATGTTAGGTTAAAATCTAACAATTTGGCACAAATATCTGAACTCCGAGTACATTAACAGCCTGTATTTCCCAATCCATGGAAGGGCAAAATTCATGGATAATTGACTCAGGTGCTTCTGATCAAATCTCCGATAAATACCTCTTTGTTTTCATCCCTTTCTTTTCCAGAAAAAACATCATTTCATAACTCTGGCAAATGGTTATAAAGTTTCCTCAAAGGGAGTTGGTCAATTCTCCTTTTTCCTTCCCTAAATCTAAAATCTATCATTTTTGTCCCTAATTGTCTCTTCAATTTAATTTCACTAAGTCAGTTAACCAAAATGTTAAATTGTTCAATAATCGTTGATAACAAGTCTTTTATTATACAGGAGCGTGGTTCGGGGATACGAATTAAAAAAGGATATGAAGCTGGAGGTTTATACCATTTTGAATCTAGTCCTCATAATTCCTGTGTTGCAGCCCCAAGTCCTAAATTGTTACATGAACGGTTAGGTCATTCTCATTTGTCAAAGTTAAAAAAAAATGGTCCCCAAGCTTAGTAGTCTCCAGATTTTAGAATGTGAGTCCTGTCAATTAGGAAAACATGTTAGATCTACCTTTCCTAAAATGTCTGAAACAAGGTGTAATTCTAGTTTCTCTATTACCCACTCTGATATTTGAGGACTCAGTCGTGTCTCTTCTTTTGGTTTTAAATATTGTCACATTCATTGATGAATACTCGAGATGCGCTTGGATTTATCTTATGAAAGACCGTACTGAATTGTTATCTATCTTCACATCCTTTTTGAATGAAATCAAGAACCAATTCGGTCATGTAATTAAAATTTTGAGAAGTGATAATGCCAAAGAGTACTTCTCATCCAATTTTTCTGCAGCCTTGAGTTTGCATGGTATATTACATTAGTCCACTTGTCCTCACACACCATAACAAAATGGTATAGCAGAAAGGAAGAATAGACACTTAGTTGAGACTGCTCATACCCTATTGCTTGGTGCAAATATTCCTGTCCATCATTGGGGGATGTCATCCTAACTGCATGTTTTCTTATTAACAAGATGCCTTCCTCCTCTCTCAATAATAAGGTCCCTTTCTCCATTCTTTTTCCAAATGATTCTCTCTTTCACATTTCTCTGTGTGTGTTTGGTTGTGTATGTTTTGTTTATGACATGTATCCAGGATTGGACAAGTTGTCTGCTCTTGCGATTAAATATGTCTTCTTATTCTCGACTTCAAAAGGGGGTACCAGTGTTACTCTCCTAAAACCAAGAAGTACTATATGTCTGCTAATGTTACATTTGAACAGACTCCTTATTTTTCTTCATCTGTTTAAGATGTGCATGTCATTCAACAAGTCCTTTTGATACCATTAGTCGAGTCCACTACTTCCAATATCTCTGCTAATCCTAGCGTTGGTCACAGTCCTCCTGCTATTGATATCCATAGGACCCAAATAACTAGTCCAGTTATCCAAGAACCAGGTGAATCCTCTACTTCAAATTCTTCTCCATTGTCACCAAATACCACGATTCTTGATGAAGAAGATTCAGGTTGACCCATTGCTCTTAGAAAAGGTACTCGTTCCACTCGAAACCCACATCCTACTTATAATTTTCTTAGCCTCAAAAAATCACCACGTGCTTGGTTTGGTAAATTCAGCTCAGTTGTTCGAAAATTTGGGCTAAAACGCAATGAAGCATATCATTCAGTTTTTTATTGTAATACCCATCTTAAGAAATGTATTTACCTGATAGTCTATGTTGATGATATAGTCATTACAAGAAATAATGTGGCCGGAATATCTTAATTGAAGGAGTACTTGTACAAACATTTTCAAACCAAGGATATTGGGAGTCTTAAATATTTTTTAGGCATTGAGATAGCTCAGTCAAAAGATGGGGTTGTTATCTCTCAGAGGAAGTACACTCTTGATATCCTACAAGAGACAGGTATGCTTGATTAAATAGTCCTATGGACCAAAATAAAAAACTAATGACGGAAGAAGGTGAATCATTCCCTAATCCAGAAAGATATAGGCGGCTAGTTGGAAAGCTAATTTATCTTATTATTATGAGGTTTGATCTATCTTTTGTAGTAGGAGTGGTTAGTCAGTTCATGTAGGCCCCATGTATTGGCCATTAGAATGCCATCATTCGTATTTTAAGATACCTCAAAAAGGCTCCAGGACAAGGTTTAGTATTTGAAGATAAAGGAAATGCCCAAGTCTCTGGATACTGTGATACTGATTAGGCAGACTCCCCAACTGATAAACGCTCTACTTCGGGATATTGTGTTTTCCTTGGAGGAAATATTATCTCATGGAAAAGTAAGAAGCAAAATGTAGTGGCCAGATCAACTGCTGAAGTTGAATACAAGGCAATGACGTCTCTTACTTGTGAACTTATATGGGTAAAACAATTCCTTCGAGAGCTTAATTTTTGTGAAGTCCAGACCATGAAAATGTATTGTGATAACCAAACTGCTCTCCACATCGCTTCAAATCCAGTATTTCATGAATGAACCAAACACATAGAAATTGATTGTCATTTTGTTCGGGAAAAATTATTGTCCTAAGAAATTTGTATTGAGTTTATTGGATCAAATGACCAACTTGTAGATATGTTGACCAAGTCCTTAAGGGGACCTTGGATTGAGTTCATATTTGTATGCTCCAGTTGGAGGAAGAGTGTTAGAATAGTTATTAAATCTGTGTAATCATTAAGTCGAAGTAGGGGTAGTGTGTTGGAAACACCTATCAGCTGTCCTATAGATGTACCTAGTTTTGTACCTATGTATATATGCTCTCTTGTATTAGATTTTTTATTATAAATAGAAGATAATTAAGAGGAGTAATAAAGTCCTCCAAACTATATTTTCCTGTTTCTTAACGTTTAGTGAATCAAAAGGGCTATTTTGCAAGCTTTAAATTGTACTAGGAGTTTGTATTCCCTAGTTATTTTTGCCTGTGATGATTGTTTGACGGGCAAATGATCTCTAATTCTAAGTCACATTAAACTCTATTTTACCTACCTCTCAACTCATTAAAACTCATTAAAAGTTTCCCGGTTGATATCTGCAATATTTAGAATTACCAGGTATTATTGTATTATTGTATGTTCCTTTTCTATTTTCTTTAAATTAATTTAAGATACACTCTGTCATTACTTAAGGTTTCATTTTCTTGTTTCACTTATACTTTTTATATATATTTTTGTTTATAAAGACATATTTTTTCCTCTTAGTTGATTCCGGATGATATGGAGTTCCAGTCTGGAATACATTTTATATATATTTTTGTTTATAAAGACACCTATTTTTCCCTCTTAGTTGATTCCGGATGATATGGAGTTCCAGTCTGGAGACATGCCAAATTACACTACTTCAGATGGATCAGTAAGTGTCATTTATAACATCCTTAATGAAAAACAACAGATAAAATTGTTTCTTTTTTGTTTGTTGTCATTCTTTTTGTTTTATAATTATTTTTACAATCAATCTGTCTTTGCAGGTTAAGATTCAAAAAGATAGTGAAGTAAGACTAAAGATAATAGGGACTCGAGTGGATGCTACTGAAATTGTAAGACTATATAGGCATATATTATGTCTTGTACTTCATTTTGTTGAATACTGTTAAGATCCATCAGTTTTATGATAAATTCTACTAAGAAATTTGAATAAATAGAAAAACATTTTTAGCTCTGTAGCAGATATAGCTTTGTTTCTCTGCAAAATTCTATACTATTTCGAATTCTTCCCAAAAGAGCCTATTAATTTTTGCTAATTTTAATGTTTAGCTCTTGCACTGGCTTAGCCGTAGTATATCTGCATATCATGAAAGTGGTGATGTGTATTCATCATTCCAGTGCTAGTTTATACTCGGTTTGCTTGTAATTTACTGTTTTGGCAACTTTTGTATCACTATTTAAACTTGAAGCATTTCAAAAACTATAAGCGAAGCTCTAGCTACCCTCAAGGGAGTTATAAATTTACCATATATTTTTTGGTATGCAAGAGTAATGACTATTCCAATGTGCAGCTTTACTTCATTTTTTGTGACTGCAAAAAGTTGTGACAAAATTGAGATCACAAATTCTCTGTTGCTGCATGCAATGAGAATGATAATACTTTTACCACATTATTTGTCTTACATATTAACTGTCGTTCCTGCCATGATTAATGTATGCCATGTTTGATGATGTCTTTAAAGAACTCTTGATACCTATGGCCTTGTAGCCTAGTGGCAGTTTTAGCAAGCATATGATAATATAGGATTTATGCTAGCTTATAAAGTTTTAATACTACTCTACATGCTTAGCGTATGTTTTCCTTCCCATCGGTTGTATGGCTATAGATATGAGCTGTGACACTGTTCAGTTATTAAAATGACAATTACAGAGATACAAATCACTTTTACCTCTTTGGATATTGTATGTATATTATCTGATTTTCAGTTTCAATTTTTTTCTAGAACCCATTTTTCTGATAATGCATAACTTTTTCTTTTTGCAGTTCTGCATAGGCACCATAAAAGATGATTTCCTGGGTGTGATCAACGACCCTGCAACTGTTTAAATACTCTCTTTACGGTACCATTATGTTGAAAACAGGATCATTTAATGATTGTTTGTTACTTTTATAAGAATTTGCTTAGAAAAGTTTTTATAAATAAAAAATATTATTTTAGTATAGATCTCATGTATAACGTTGCCTAAAAGAAATGAAAATTCTTAATATAAGAAACTTTCATTTGTGGTAAAAAACTATATATATAGAATTCACTTTAAAATAATGTTTTTTATTCTTAAAGACTATTTTAAACAAATTCCACCGGAGATACTCTAACAAGTATAGTTATTATGTTGAGTTTAATGTATCTTTAGAAGGAGTTCTCTAGAAAATAGTTTTAGTTATTTATTATCATTGTATCATTATTATTTTAAATAGATCACTCTTTTTGTCTGAAAAACTAAATTAAATGTTGTTTCTCTCTTTTGGCATTGTATCAAAGTTCTCGATTAAAGGGGACTTTTCCTCTATGATAAAACACTCTAAAATGGTTGGGCATTCAAGCTGTCAGTAATATGTAAACTTGATTCTGCATTGAGTGTTGTCAAGTTTGATTGAATTACTCCCTTCCTGACTATCGAAATTCAATGACTGCCAAAACCTGCTTCTTTGTAGTGTCAATTATATCCTTCAGATTGATATGGCCAAACCTATCGCATAACATTTTTCGTCATTTCCTAATGCTTTGTTTTTGAGTTTTCTTGAACAAGAGCTTGATTTAAGCTCTTCTAAGGTGATTTACTCTTTTCCATTACTAAGAGAACTCACAACATTCTCTTATGAAGAGGACAACGATGCTAGTAGAATCATGGAACCCATTCTTCAATTTTGACTCTTTACTGTCACAATGTTGAGTCAAGATTGAATGTAATTCATCCAAATGATCTTTCAAGGACTTAGCAGAAGCTAGTAGTGTATTGTTCTTGAGTAACCTCGTACATAACCTCATCCAATAAAGAGTAAAATTAGGTAACGTGTTTTCTTTTCTTGATTGGTGAATTACTCATTGTTGTGATTATTGGTGTACAAATTCTTTATTCTTTCAATAGTGCCGAAATTAAATGCATCATATATTATAACTGTTTTTTTTACTCTATTTTTGCTTGTTATTTTACATTATGTAACTAGACCCTGATATTTATAAAATCTTCAAAAGTAATATATTGTGAAAATATAAGATAAGTGTTGAAGTTTTATATCCAACTTTAGCATCCACCTAAAGTAGCCATCTCCGTACTCATCCTTTAATTGCTACTCAATTTTACGAGAAACAATCATTGCATGATTTGTCTTCTAACACTTAGCCTACTCGTTTACAAGTCAATTCAAAATCCATATAATATCATTTAACAAAACACTAATCTGTGCCACTACATTCGATTGGTGCATACGACCAAGTTGACCCTCCCTACAAGACCACAACCATTCAAATTGCATAAAGTATCCCATCTTTAAAGTTACTCATCATGGATATACGTTGTTAGCTCTACTGAGATTATTCACACCCAATATTCATTTTTTTCTAAACACTTGGGGATTACTGTAGGCTTCCAAACATCAATCAGTGATTTCCTACACTAAATGGAGAAAGAGGTATTGTTTGAGTGAAGAAAACGGTGGGGGCAGCTTTTTCTCAAACACGCATTCAACGTTAGAAAGCAGAAAAATGATATACAGCCCAACATTTGGTCAAGAAGCAATCAAATTCATTCCAAGCATAAACTTCTGTGTAAGAAACCGAGGCTACCAAGTTAACTCCCCGGTATCCAAGTAATTTTATAGATGGAAAAAATGAGACACGAAGCTAGAAACTTGAGTAGGTGGAGGGTATAGTTAAATAAACCTTATTGTTACACCGTAGAGCGAGTTCGTTCTCTGTCTTTCCTACATGGACATTACAGTAGGACTGATTTAATCATTGGTGACAAAGTCCAAACATATTCCTTCTCTATTCCTTTTGTCTCTTGTGCACAGCACGACACTCTCCTTCCAGCTCCAAAACAAGAATAGCACATTCAACAGTTAAAGGTTATTAAAAAGGGGGCATTATAGCAACAAGATCAAACAAATGAGTACCATCTTCTTCTAAGCAAACAGTGGCTAAAATTGACAAGCCCAGATAAGCATTGCATTACCTAACCATTTATTCTCCACAATACGCCCTTCCAAATGCTACTCAGCATCATCATTTTGGACTCTTCCTCTCACCCTTTTCCTCCTTCAAAAAGTCCCCTTGGCCACACATCCAGCGACCCTGTCTTCCCCTATACTAACTTTTAGCAATTTTCTCCTTGGCATCTTCTCCAACACCAGTCGATTCTAATCTCTGTTGCTATCATCAGGAATCAATAACATGCACCCAAATGAAAAAAAATAAACCATGAACAGCTAAAAATGATTATCTCCTATGCATGCACTCCCTTGTATCATATACCACTTCCAAACCACTCCATGCCAAACCCCACCAAAATATAAAGAACACCCCAAGTTTATTTTTTACTCACTGCCAAATGGGTAGGCATGGTAATGATCCTACTACCACTGTGAACTCCTCCATTGCTCTTCTTCAGGAAAGGTTTAGACAGTTGGAGAAGGTCAAAGAAAGAAGAGAGGGGAAGCAACTTCTTAAACTCTTGTCATCTGAGAGCACCTCATCATCTATTATGCACAATTCCTCTTCACACAACTCTCAACAACAACAACAGCCAAGATTGGCGCCTCCACTACATAGGCCAACTCTCCATGATTCTCTTTCTCTCGGCCTCAGTTTCACACAAGGGGATCACAACACCATGAACATGAAACCTCCCCCTTCCTCCAATTTATGGCCACAGGGAGCATCAGCATCAAGAAATTTTGATACCTCAGACGTTGATACTTCGCTTCATCTGTAAATATGTTTACTACTATTTTTCTCTGCATCCATATATAGATGTATAATAATAGCCCTATGTTCTCCATCATTTTGTATCAGTAATCAAGGAGGATTTGTATCAGTTATGCTTCTTCTTTTTTCCCTGGAAAGTATGTGAATGACATATGAATACGTAATTGTTTATGGACTTTTCTAAACAAAATAACATCTTTTTCGTAGGCCATGAAATAGTATTTTGGGTTTGCCTGTTTTCTGAAACATAACTTAGTTGTACAATTAATTTCACACATTCTTGTTTTCATCAAATATTATATTGGTATTTTAAAACAAACTTATGTGCATACATACTTATATTCTATCAACATAAGCTACACCTAAGTAACATACGAGCATATGCAAATTTACATAATATTGAAAATTTGATCCATTTACACTAGTCTTATACTTTTATCATTGAAGATGAATAAAATAAAATTAAGACTGCTAAAACCATTATGAATTTTTATTATATATTTATTAACGTTTAAAAGCTTTCAAAATTGTTTTCCGAACTCGGTGATGATTAAATGTGTTCAGTTTAAGTTATTTTAGATAAATAATTATTCATTTCTATAAAAATAATTATTATTTTCTCGAAGTAGTAATTTCTAGACATGAAATTAGTTATGTTCTATGATTGCTATATTTATCAAAGAAATTTTTATGAAATTTGTAGAGACATGGATGCATCGTACTAAATCACCTTATACACGTCTAAACACGTGCGTTGAGACATACAAACACGACAATTATATTATGCTTTTTATTTATTTGGCAGTATCTCAAGTTGCTTAAGTTCAACTTATATTTCTCAACATATTATAAAGGTAGATTTTTTTTTTTTTGCAGGTTAGAGTTAGAAAATATAAGCTATATTATGTTGAGGATTTCTAATAAAAATATTTAACATTTGCCAATATTTAGTTTGAAAAACAAATATTACTTTCCTAAATCTGGTATTTATTCATATCTAGAAAATTAAGATACAACAATTACAACTACATATTTTTTTTATTAAGAAAATCAACTACAATAATTAATCAAGTATTTTAGCGAAAATAATTTGTTTATCGAACTTCTCAAAAAATATTTTCGTACAGGTGAAAATTTTAACTTTTATGTTTTCCAAGTTAAAATAAAATTTTGACTTAAAAAAAAATCATATTACTCCTATAAGATTATTTTACGTGGCAAAAAATTAAATATTTTAATAAAAATCACTCACTTTTTCATTCCGTGAAATTTATATAACATTTTCGACAGTACTTTTGACCAAACAAATATAAATTAGTCATTTACATAAGTCATAATAATTAATAGGATTTACAGTTAAAATGTAAATAAACAATTTTTCGGTAAATTAAGAATGATTTTTACATTGTTACAAAGTATTTTTTAATATTATTATTACAAAATAAATAACCGAGACATAAAAAAAAAAAAAAAAAAAAAAAAAGAAAGAAAGAAAGAAGCCGAAAAGGAAAATAAGTTGAGTGAATTGTGAAAACTAGTAGCATCCAGAAGCTTCTAAACGCCATATTTTGATCACACAACCGAGCCAATTCAAACCCCTTCTAAAACCCTACACCATTTCCTCCCTCAACCAAAGGAACTTTCTCTCTCTCTCTCTCTCTCTCTCTCTTAGTTAGTTGCAATCTTCGTCTCTCAGTTTTTGATTCTGTCATTGATTCACTATGCAAAGACTCTCTACCACTGCTCGTTCTTCTTCCATCTCCGCCTTATTGCGCTATGGCGGCGCACTTCGCAGGGACGTGGTTGCTCCCATTTCCTCTTCTAACTTAGCTAAGGTACCCATTTCTTTCACCTTAATCCCTTATTAGTTACTCTTACATTTCAAATTTTCGTCCCATAATTCCTAGCTTTCTAGTCGTTTGCTTCTGCAACCAATCCATATGTTTTTCATTCAGTGATTCTGTTTAGTTTTTATAATATTGTGAACAGACAAACCATACATTCTAGATAGTGTTGATTGATTGTTAGTGCTAGTGTAACTGTTCATGGGATAACAAACACATGTCACAACCATTTTGAATTATTGTCGGCTTTTGTGTCCCTTTCGTTTGGTTGTGAGGAGCAGGTGGGTGAGAATGACACCCAAGTTAGATGGTTTTCTATTCTGGGTTCGGACAAATCCAGCACTATTGAATCTGCAAATCATCCAAACTTAAGAAAAGATTTGATTTTGGGTAGACGATATGAATCAACTGCTGCTGAATCTTCTTCTACTTCCCCACCAGCCGAGAGATATGAGTATCAAGCTGAGGTATGACTACTTTTTATGTTGGATAGTCTCTAGTGCGTATGGTATGGTTTGCCTTGAGCTTAACTTTGCATAATATGCATCATTGGCAGGTTAGTCGGCTCATGGACCTCATTGTTAACAGTTTATACAGTAACAAGGAAGTGTTTCTTAGGGAGCTTATTAGGTATGTTGTATCGTACTTGTAGAATTTTTTAAGTACTACTGCTTTTTTGCAAATTTATTGTCTGGAAACGTTGTCGGCTGAAGTTGAATTTGTTCATTAGGCAGTTGATCCTATGTAGAATTATGTTGTTGGAGCATTTGTGTTCAGATGGTGTGAATACATTGATATATATTGATATTATACTAACCATAATTACCTTTTATCGGTGTATCATGGCTGTGGCAAGTGATTTCCTGCATATACCGCAATTACTTTCAGGATCTGTTTTGAAAATAAAAAAAATCCAGTTTCTCCTTTGTCTTTTCAGGAAGTTGCATCTTTCAATATTTAAGCCATGTCCTTGATATTGATTGAATGTTATGTAATTTTGTGTTGCCCAATCCGTTGATATACATTTTTATTTACAGCAATGCAAGTGATGCTTTGGATAAGCTGCGGTTTCTGAGTGTAACTGAGCCTGGGCTTTTGAAGGACGCAGTTGATTTTGATATTCGAATTCAAACTGATAAGGATAACGGGATCATATCTATTACGTAAGCAACACAGCTGTGATTAATGTTTGATAAAAGTTGTTCATCACAGTTGGTGCTGCAACTCATGTTTTATGCAGTGATACAGGCATTGGGATGACTAGGCAAGATCTAATTGATTGCCTTGGAACTATCGCTCAAAGTGGAACTGCAAAGTTTTTGAAGGCTCTAAAGGTCTTAATTTCTTCTGAAAGATGTGTTAAGATTTTATTGTCTTTATTCACATTTGCATTTATGTATCTTGCCTGCTGACAAATGTGTAACATGTAAAAGGATAGCAAGGATGCTGGTGGTGACAACAACTTAATAGGTCAATTTGGTGTGGGATTTTATTCTGCTTTTCTGGTTGCTGATCGGGTATGCTTTTTGTGTGAAAGTAAAAAATGTCATGGTCTTCTATTTTTTGTTTATGTAGTTATATCAATTTTTGTTGTTTGAAGGTGGTTGTCTCAACAAAGAGTCCAAAATCTGATAAGCAATATGTATGGGAAGGAGAGGCAAATGCTAGCTCATATACTATAACTGAGGAGACAGACCCTGAGAAGCTGATTCCAAGAGGAACACGTCTTACACTGTATCTTAAGGTATGTTGATAATATTTTTTTAACATCAAGTAATTATGTTAGTTTTCTTTTTTCCCGAGCTTACAAATATGATTTAATTATGCCCATTGCTACCTTTCAGAGGGATGACAAAGGATTTGCACATCCAGAGCGGATTCAGAAGCTTGTGAAAAACTATTCACAATTTGTTTCATTCCCGATATACACTTGGCAGGAAAAGGGATATACCAAAGAAGTATGGCTATTCAATCCAGACCTTTTCACTTTGATAACATTATCTATGGCAATACTACTTGCCTTGAGTTAATTTCATTCTTCACTAGACTGTAATATTGACTTTTTGAGCTTTTATTAAATTTTGGGCTAATTCTAGGTGGAAGTGGATGAGGATACAGATGAAGCCAAAAGGGATGATCAAGATGAGAAGACTGAGGTAACATTCTGATTGTGTGCATGTGCTGAATCCAGTGTTTACATTGATGTGAATGTGTAATTGTGTAGCTGCTGCAAATTTACTTATGGATTCTTTCAAATTGTTTTGACAGAAAAAAAAGAAAACTAAAACTGTTGTTGAGAAGTACTGGGATTGGGAGCTGACAAATGAGACCCAACCTATCTGGGTGAGTTTTATGATTTTTCAATTTCAAGAGTTGCGCTCATATAAATTTATAAAGAAATTATTACATGAATGAAGATTGTGGCATTACTTTACTCATGCAGCTTCGTAATCCTAAAGAAGTCACTAAGGAGGAGTACAATGAATTCTACAAGAAAACTTTTAATGAATACTTGGAGCCATTAGCATCGTCACACTTTACCACAGAGGTAAGAATTTTATGTCTCAAGTGTCATCTTGTTGTGTCTTGTGTAGTGGAAGGTTGGCCAGATGAACAAGATTTTCTATTTTTGGGTACATCAATATAGATTGGAGTAGTGTTTCAATATTTTTATTTGTTAATGAAAATTCAGAGTTCGGCTGGAAAGCTGGCTTGATAATGTGAATTTTTCACCATATTCCAGGGGAGATTCATAGTATTAATTTGACAGCTAATATTGTGATATCTATTTTAGTTGACAAATGGGCTGGTGATGCTTGTTATTTCAGGGTGAGGTAGAATTTAGATCTATACTATACGTTCCTGCCTTCGCTCCCTCAGGGAAGGATGACATAATCAATCCTAAGACCAAGAATATAAGACTTTACGTGAAGAGAGTTTTCATTTCAGATGACTTCGATGGAGAACTGGTATAAACTCTTTGCTATCTACATTCTACAACCGTGAGTACCTGGTTGGTGTTCCCAAAGTTTTATTATCATGGACTAATGTGTTACTTTTGAACAGTTCCCCCGATACTTAAGCTTTGTCAAAGGTGTTGTTGACTCAAATGACCTCCCACTCAATGTGTCGCGTGAAATTCTTCAAGAGAGCCGCATAGTAAGTAGATAGGACAATGTGAATGTGCTTGATATTTACATCTGGATCTCTCTTTTAGCATACCGGTTTTACCTTGCTTAATTTTTCCCATGTGTTGCTTGAAGGTGCGGATTATGAGGAAACGCTTAGTGCGAAAAGCTTTTGACATGATTCTTGGAATATCCATGAGTGAGAACAGAGAGGTATTAATATTCTGGAAATTGTTGTACTGTTTCCTTTTATTATTTTTGAAGTTTTAGAGTAGCTTGTTAGAAATATCAACGATATATGTATCTTATTCATTGCTTTAGATCTCTTTTTATATAACTGCTCGTGACAAAAGGAGGTCCTTTTCTTGTTATTATTTTTCTGGCTAACTTGTTCTGTATGCAGGACTATGAGAAGTTCTGGGAGAACTTTGGCAAACACTTGAAATTGGGTTGCATTGAAGACCGTGAGAATCACAAACGTATTGCTCCATTGCTTCGCTTTTTCTCATCCCAAAGTGATGAAGAACTGATTGGCTTGGATGAATATGTTGAGAACATGAAACCTGATCAAAAGGACATTTATTACATTGCTGCTGACAGTGTGACCAGTGCGAAGAACACACCTTTCTTGGAGAGACTTGCGGAGAAGGATCTTGAAGTAACCTTTGTTTTTTTATCAGACTTTATAACTTTTACTTATTTCTCAGTTAATATGTATATTTGTGTTTTTGTAATGTAATTTTTCAGGTTATGTTTTTGGTGGATCCAATAGACGAGGTTGCCATTCAAAACCTTAAATCATACAAGGAAAAGAATTTTGTTGACATTAGCAAGGAAGACTTGGATCTAGGTTAACTTCTTTCTTCTCTAAACTTCCTTTCAATCATTTGATTTGATAAACATTCCCATTTAGTTTACCAAATATTTGTTATTCTCTCTTTCTAGCCAATCTTATTGTTGACAATGGTGTGAATTCATAGCTTTGTTCAAAGTTGTTATGCATTTGATGTTCCAGGTGATAAGAATGAGGAAAAGGAAAAAGAAATGAAGCAGGAATTTGGCCAAACATGTGACTGGATGAAGAAACGATTGGGAGATAAAGTTGCAAGTGTGCAAATCTCAAACCGACTTAGCTCTTCACCCTGTGTTCTGGTGTCTGGAAAATTTGGTTGGTCTGCAAACATGGAAAGGTTGTCATCTTTTCTCTTAGATTGATCATGTATTTTGAACATTTAAGTAACAATGTGCAGTATGTAATCAAGCGTAATGCAGGCTGATGAAGGCACAAAGTATGGGTGATGCATCCAGCTTGGAGTTCATGAGGAGTAGAAGGGTGTTTGAGATCAACCCTGACCATGCCATTATCAGGAATTTGGATGTAAGATAAATGGACAATCCCCATTTCTTTTCTACGATATGATTAAAAGTTGAAATTATGATATCGCAATCAAAATGGGTGATTTACAGGCTGCATGCAAAACAAATCCCGATGATGAAGATGCCCTCAGAGCTATCGATCTTTTGTATGATGCAGCTTTGGTTTCCAGTGGTTTTACGGTAAGCTCATGCTCAAGATATTATTGTTATGAATGTCACTCAAGTTCCGTTGTGAAATCCTGAACTCCGTATCCTTTGGCTCTTTGTTGGTGTGCAGCCTGAAAATCCAGCACAACTTGGAGGGAAGATATACGAGATGATGGGAATGGCTCTCACTGGTAAATGGTCAACACCTGATCAGTTCCACTCCACTGTGACCATGCCCCATATCCCAGAAACTGTAGAAGCTGAGGTTGTTGAACCTACTGAGGCTGGCCGTCAGAAGTGAGAAGACTGTTATGTGGACATTTTTGTTTCCTTTCCAATCCCTTTCTGTTCTTTCTTTCAAAGCTATCTCCGGGTGAAGTTGTACTCTTGAAGCACATGGGTGTCAGTAGTAATCTTTTATAGATATCATTAGGAATTCAGTGGCAATGCATATCTGGAATTGCGTGTAATTCGTCCTTTCAGTGATTTAATTGGTCAAAAACATCCATCATCACCAAATATTTTAGTTTTAGTAGTTTTTCTTTTGTTTTGGATAAAGGTACCATAATAATTTGGAAAAAATGTTCTGCGGGTGCATCTGACATAAAAATTATTCCAATGGGACAGTTGCTGCTGTGCTCTGATTTCTGCGAGATGTTCCATTGGGGGGTGGTCCCAACCAGACAAAAAATTTAAGGTTAAGTTTGTTATAGAGATTATGCATTGTCTTTGGTCCTTGGATAGTGAGACAGATTAATGGTCAATACATTTACTTTGGCCGATGATATTGAGACTGATTACATTTTTATTCTAATGTGATTGTGATTGAACTTTTTATCATTTGGGATTTGTAAGTTTATGGGATAACATTTATAATAAATTATGTGGTAAGGATAAATTGTTTTATCTAACTATATGTAACAGAAAGATGTATTTAAAATTACTGAAGTTAAAAATAATTAATTAAAGTTATAATTTAATAGTGATTTCAATGTTTTAAAAATTTAATTTAATATCCTTGACAATTCTATTATTGTAAAAACTAAAATAAATTTATCTTTCAAAACAACTTTTTTTTTATTGAAAGTTATTAACTTGTATTTAATCTATATGTTTGTGACTTTTTAAAAAAATGAAAAGTGTTATTTGCACAATTTTTTTTATTTGTTATATCGTTTTTATTCATCATTTATTCAAGCGTATACTAAATCCACGAACAGAGAAGCACATAACATTTCAATGAATGGACTTTCATATTAAACATCATACATTATTTTAATATACCGTGCTTTTAGTGCTATATTGAACAATGCTAATATTACACTCCTGCTACTTTAGGGATGAAACTCACCAAAATGAGAAAAGAGACCACTTCAAGAAACACTGTTTGAATTTATCATTGCGCCATGATATTATTGGCAATTCGGACTGCACCATCCCATCCATTTGATGGAAGCTATTCTTCACATTATGATAAATAAACCGAACATATTTTATATCTTCATGGATCGTGCACTCCAATGCTATATCACATATCGATCCCTGCACGGCGCACACAAATTTTCAAATTGAGTAAAGGGTGATGATGCAGAAGACTGTACTTATGCGTAAGTGTAAGTAACTTAATTGAACTGGTAAAAGTCACAGTGAAAGCACAGATGCATTTGACACAGGAAGAGAAACTTTGCTGAATTAGATACAGAACAGAAGCATTCAGTGGGACCGAAGATTTAAAATCAAAGCGATCAATGGTGATGACACTACCATTTGCCGTAGTAATGATGCTGCAAAGAGCACGGAAGGAATTGAGGTAATGAGAATTAGAAAGAACAGCATTTTCCATTTTGGGTGGGGGGAGTAAGTTTTACCCTAATGATAGGGTAACAATTACTCGCAAAAGAAATATTACTCCTATAAAACTCACTTTCTTAAAAAAAAAAAAAAAATTCTACCCTAAAATTTTTCCCATTTCTTACCCTCAAGCAAAACCCAAAGGTTATTGGAGCAACCAATTATGAAGACAAATTTGTAGTCTCACTGATTCTCTTTTCAGGAAATGACAAACAACTGTCTACTTAACACGAGAAAGACTTAGCAGTACAATTGAAACTGTTGATGAAATCAAGTGACATGCAGACTCAAATTTTTCCATGCTGAGACAGATGTACCTATGCCGATGAGATTGAAAACCAACAAAGGAATAATCTTAAAAACCGAAACACAGTATTTCAATATGAAACATAAAAGAAGGAATAACTTCCTCTGAAAAGCTAAACAGGGTGTGCCACAAAAATTACCAAGAGAGGGAAAACCATGTGAATGATGGACATCCTCTTTGGGTCAATAGCCTTCGGCAATTACATTGCCGTTCAGTATTACATAGCTTTTATGGCACCTTCGATGAATTTGAAAGTCCCGGTGAGAGATACATTTCAGGCTAAAGAATACATTAAGTTTATGTAAACTTCAATCTTAAAATGAATTTTAGGCATAGTAAGGAACTATAAGAAGGAAAAAGAGAGTTTTATGAGAACAATGCTTTTAATAAAGATGGTTTCTTTTTTATTCAACTACTACGCATAAAAAAAGTAGGAAGCTATATTTTTTACTGATATTAAAGTAAATGGCTTCCAAATCGACAGTTAAGAAAAAGTTTCCCACAGAATAATCTGTACATAAGATTCTATGCTTACCAGCTGAAGTTCTCAAATCAAATCTTTCCGAGTCAGGATCACCATGGAAAATGTTGAATAGAACTGTTAAATGTTGAATCACAATTATCCATGCTAGCATTCGATCAACTTAATGTCTGTTGACCAAAAATTGGTTAAGGTGCGTCAATGATATAAAAAATATTTAAGGCAAAATGAATCAATTAGTGAAAAGTAAAACTTATGTATTTCTATTGCAGAAAAGTAATTATATAAAGGCAAAGAGAACAAGTGGTCTTCCTCTATAACACTGATATAAAACAGAATGCCTACCTCAACCCACCTACCCTCTCTCCTTTTAGACCTATGCATAAGTAATACTATCTCATAACAACTCTCTCTAAGTGCTTTGGATCGGACAAAACTTCTTTCTCACATATTGTATCCACTCTAGTGGCATGAGCTCATTCCAATTACTATTAGGTCCAAACCAAGATTGCTAAACTCAAGATCCTCCCTAAGTTTGGAAGAAGGGAGGAAACATACAAATCATGGCATCGTAACAATGATAGAAAATATCTACTAAAACTAAGAAACTAACCTATAGGGGAAGGGCTATGAAGCACAGAAACCTCTCCTAATTTAGATTTATGGAGCCTCTGCACATTTTTGCAACGTGCCTTTATTTCTTTGAACAGTCTTAAGCCCAACCTAACTAGCTAACTATCTCACTAATAACTAACACTAATATGCATCTAACGTTGTCCAGCACAAAAGCTGCATATCCACAAAATACCAAGGAAGGCTTATTAGATTTCGCATTTTCTACGAAGCACAATAGGACCAAAACACAGCAAAGGCATCAAAGAACAAGAAGCACAGCTTTCAACATACCCAAATTATTTTTGGAAGAAATCATCATGTTTTCAAACTTTTGAGCAGCCTCAGTCATCCCTTGGGAGTTGTATGCCTGGATCATGCAAGCAAAAGTGATGCTATCAGGTTCACATTTTCTTTCTCTCATGCCCATGAATAACTCGCTCATCTTTTTTAAGTCACCAGCCTGCCCATAGGCACTAATTATGCAATTAAAGAAGGGAGTATCCAATACTACATCAGAATTATCAACATGCCTCATGATTGAATCAATTTTGTCAATACGTCCAACTTTGCTATATGCACTGACAAGTGAACAATAAGTAACAGAATTAGGCTTCACTCCAAGATGCTTCATTTTCAGAAAGTGTTGATCCATCTTCGTAATCTCTCCAGCTTTGCCAAACACCTCAATGACGGTATTATATGTTACAATTGTTGGAGTGAACAACCTTCTCTCCATGAAATCCATGACAGTCTTCATCTTCTTATACATGCCAGCTTTGCCATAGGACTTTATCATCAAATTGAATGTTGTTATGTCTGGTTTTATGCCCATTAGCTGAAATTCATCATACCACTTCTCCATCTTTTCAATTTTCCCATGCTTTCCATGTGCTCCAACAAAAGAATTCAGCGTGAAAACATCTGGGTGGCAGTTGCCGTTTTCAATCATATCATTCAATGTATTATCCATCTGTTCAAACATGCCAGCCTTACCATATCCATCAATTATGGAATTATAAGTCACAGAGTTACATTGGATGCCCAGAAATGACATCTCCGCAAGGACATGTTCAATCAAATCAAAACGACGAAATTTTGCACAGCAACTGACAAGAATAGAATATGTGTAAATATCTGGTTCACAGTCAACAACTGATTTCATATCTTCAACAGTAGAAAATGCCTGAACAAGGAGACCACTTTGACCATAAGCACTTACAAGAGCAGTGTAGACATCAACGGTAGGTTTAAGCCCTTCAGAAAACATGACCTCAAAGAGAAGAGAAGCCTCTTCAGGCTGCCTGCACTTGCCAAGCATCATCAACAGCTTTGCATATGTTTGGCATCGTGGTTCGTACCAGTATTGCTTTCGAAGAAGTGCAAAAATCTGCAAAAGGAAATCGGTTGTACTTCATACACAACTGAACAAAAATGTTAATCTTAAAAATCAATTGCATTACACAGCCTAAAAAAATCTACGCAAGTCTAACGTTCATAGACTAAGAAATATTTCAAATTCAAAGCACCCCTAGTTTTTTTTGCAAAATAAATGTATGCCTGCATGAAGGCAAAAGGCAGAATGTGAATGAGTGAATCAACATTTATCTCTCAAAAATGGAAGTTTTCCATAACTTTTCCAAGTCATACCCATTGGAAATATTTCACGATCACACTCGAAATGAAAAGTTGAGCAGTAAATACCAAAGCATCACATGATATTGTTCGCATTTAAACCTGGCAAGATTTCCAGAACAGAACGTCAGACTTGACATACTCCTTTCCTTTCTCTACAAAACCATCAGTCATTACTGTAAAATTCCATAATCCCAAGAACAGCTCACTCCCGTCATTATAACACAACTTTACAATCCCCCTCTTCCCCCACCCAAATCAAAAACTATTGCATTGCACTCAATTCAAAACTTAATTCTGAACACATGTAAATGAATAAAAGACGTATGAAACCATTACCCCCATCATTTTACACTCGGTGAAGGAACTAAATTATCGCGAATTTGATCATTTGAATAACTCAATGCCCCCATAAGTGTATTATAAATGTTATAAAAGTAAATTAATTTATTTTTCATATCCTCCACTTCAAACCAAACGAACTCCTACCAGGTTGGGTCCAGCATGAAATCCCCACATGAAAACGTCTGCATTTAGAGTTTGACAGTATCTCAAACAAAATTCTCCTTACCCCGAGAGCGGATTCCCAACGACAGCATTTGATGGCGTCATCTAGGGCTTCGAGAAGGGCCTTAGGCCAGAGCTGTTTATGGGAGTTGGACTTGGCCTTGTTCTCAACGCCTCTAATGGCGGCTTCAGTTCGGAGAATGCGCGACAACTCCTTCTTTGGCTCCCTCAGCAACCCTGCACTCCCTGTTTTTGCCTTTCGCTTCAACGACTTCACGTGAAAACGACGCCGTGTCTTTGGAAGGGCGTTGTTGGTGGCAGAGGTGAAGGGTGCGGTGGAGGAGACACTACACGACCACGCTAAGTTCATTGCAGACACGCAGTAGGAAGAATCGCCGTCACTTACGTTTACAAGAGTTTTTTTTTTTAATTTAATAGATTATATTATTTATTGTTTTAATTTAAAATTTAGTAAATTTTAATTTCAAAATATATATTTTTCTTGCAAACTCTTCGTTGAAGAGTGTGATAAATAAAATTACGAGTAGAATATAGTTTAATTTCGAAGTAAAAAAGAAAAAAAGTGGGTGAAAAGATAACGGTCTTGACAGTGTTCACGTTCTTTGTCAAATAAAAGATGGTATGATAAACGGAATTGAAAGAAGTCGTAACGTAGGGTCCTGTCAACCGCGTGAACCGGTCATCGTTGATAAATACCACCGCTCCTTCCCTTTCCACTCCCATTCGCAGTTCAAACAAAAAAATCAGTTTGATTATTCTATTGTTTCTCCTTCATTCACCGTTTCAGTCTTTTTCACCATTTCATCGCTCCTTTAACCTAACCAATCCTTCTCCTTAATTCCTTTCTTGTGGTGTGTTCTCTTCTCCTCTCTCTGGTAATCTTCTTCTCCTTTTCAATCCATTTTTTTAAGCATATTTTTTCTCTGATTCCGTGAATTTCGATGCACCTGCTTTAACGGTTGAAACATTCTTTCTAGCAATTTTTAAGTCTGAATCTCAAGGTCAAGTTTTTGCTGTGGGTCTTTGAAGTTATATCTTTAACGTATGATTTAATGATTTGATATGCTGGTTGAGTTTATAAGTTAACTTGTGTGTCATCAAATTTTCCGTTAGAGATTAGTTGCAATTCTCTTCAGCTTTTTTGTATGATAAGGAGCTGTTGCATAATAGAATCAATTGTGAATTTCTATTCTCTTCCGTTATTACTGATGGGTTTTCTTGTGATTATTGTGCGGGTTTCGAACATTTGCCTTTTTCGAATTTATTTGTTTTTTTGCCATCAGTTTGTTGATAAATTAGGGCTTGATTGATCACTAAATAGTTTGATATTTATTCTCTCCGATCTCTAGCTCTTGCTTTGTCTTCCGTGATGTTTCTGTATTTTGGAGGTTTATGTGGAGTAGGATGAAAGGCTGCACCTTTTAGCAGATTATGAATTTTCTCAATTTCCTTTTATTATAACGAAGAATATGTGATAATCATGCGCATTGGTATATCATGCTTATAACCTATGCTAGTTACTGACAAACTAGATCTTTTTTTCTTGGGTATGATCTCTAGGTTTTAACAAAAAATCAGAAGCCTTTGCTATAAAACAATGCTCCCTCCACGACAGCAGTCACAAGTTGGTGAAGGACTACAAACTTCTCTATCTCTAGTTTCTTCAGATCCCCCCCGCCTTTCCCTTGAGGAGCCTAGACCAAACACTGGCAATCTCCGTGAATCTCCGACTGAAAGTGGCAATTCTCGGGAAATTTGGCCTACTGCCGGTGCAATAAAAAAGGAGAATGATTGCCCTGATCAGTCAGTTATACGTCGTGTTTCCGGTGCTGACAAAATTACTCTTCATGACATTGCAAGAGAACGAGTTGATATAATATGTGAGAAAATGGTTCGTCTACCTTATGAATTTCTTGACGAACTGAAAAATGGACTTCGAGTTATCCTTGAAGGAGGGAATGGCTCACAGCACAGAGAGGAGTTTTTTATTTTGCAGAAGCTTGTTCAGAGTAGATCTGACTTAACAACCAATACATTGGCAAGAACACATCGTGTGCAGCTCGAAATACTTGTTGCCATAAATACTGGAATTCAGGGATTTTTACATCCTAGCATCAGTCTATCTCAGGCTTCATTGATCGAGATATTTCTATATAAGAGATGCAGAAACCTGGCTTGTCAGAGTCAGCTTCCTGCTGAAGATTGTACCTGCGAGACATGCGCCAACGGCAATGGTTTCTGCAATCTGTGCATGTGCGTCATCTGCAGCAAGTTTGACTTTGAAGTAAACACATGCCGCTGGATTGGATGTGATCTTTGTTCTCATTGGACCCACACTGATTGTGCCATTCGTGAGCAACTCATTTGTATGGGCCCTGCTACAAGGCAGGGTACAGGGCCCAGTGAAATGGTTTTTAAGTGTCACGCATGCAATAGGACTTCAGAACTGCTGGGTTGGGTTAAAGATGTCTTCCAGCATTGTGTACTGTCATGGGATGGAGAGGCCCTGATCAGGGAACTTGATTTTGTCAGTAGGATCTTTCATGGAAGTAAAGACCCACGGGGGAGGACACTCCATTGGAAGTGTGATGATCTCAAGGAAAATTTGAAAAGTGGGAAAGTGGAATCTAAGGCAGCATGCAAGGCAATATTGATGGTTTTCAAAGGTACAAGTTTTCTAGTTTACCTGCAAATTGTAGTTAGTATAATTTAATTAGTTAATTCTTTCTTTTTATTTTGTTCTAACCAATACTTTTCATATGTAAAGAGCTTGAGCTGGACTCTCAAAAGACCCTGGAAAATGCTGACAGTGAAAGTGGAAGGCTGATTGCTCCGCAGGAGGCATGCAGTAGAATTTCGGAGGTGGTGCATGAGGCTGTAAGAAATATGGAAATGGTAGCTGATGAGAAGATGAGAATGTTCAAGAAGGCTCGGTTGTCTTTTGATGCTTGTGAACGTGAATTAGCAGACAAGGCCAGAGAAGCAGGAGAACTAAACATGGATAGGCAAAAAAAGAAGTTAGAGATTGAAGAACTGGAGAGAATTGTGAGGCTTAAAAATGCAGAGGCTGATATGTTCCAGATGAAGGCTAATGAAGCTAAAAGAGAAGCTGAGCGGCTCCAGAGGATTCTTCTTGCCAAGTCAGATAAATCAGAAGAAGAATATACTAGCAATTATTTGAAGCAAAGATTAAGTGAGGCCGAGGCTGAGAAACAATATCTGTATGAGAAGATTAAAATGCAGGAGACTACTCGCTTAATGCAAAGCAGTGGTGGTGGTGGCGGTGACTCCTTGATGTTTTCCAAAATCCATGATATTCTCTATAATGTTCCTCCCAGTGCAGACGGTCCATCTAATGACTGCCATCCTTTTAGAAAAAACCCATAACATTGTTTTTAAGTGTATGTACGTTGTAATCTTCGACATAATATAGCAATGTCATTTTATTACCCAATTGATTGGAGAGTCGGTGTCATTAGGTTCCAGACAATGTAACCCTTCCAAGTAGATATATGTATGAATACACATTTGTGGTAAGTTATTGACTGCCGCTTGATTTGTGGAATCTAATTAGTTAGTCAATATGTTAAGTACTGTGACGATCAAGTCTTATTTGGTATGTCTTCTCTGAGTTGGATCAGGACTGTAGAGCAAATTGGATTTGGAGAAAAAAAAGTAGAAGAATGTTCTGTTATTGATAAAATGAAACTGACATACAGAACAAGTGTTTTTCTCGCCTAACTTAAAAAGGTGGAATACTCATCTTTTTGACAGATGCAGATGGGTTTGGCATATTACTGTTCATTTGGGTTCGATCCTTAATTTCTGAAGTTCGGTGAAAAGGTACCATATTGGCAAACGTCAAAGCAGCACTGATTCCATGGCATCTTATTGAAGAGCTCTGACACACATTCGGTGTGACAATCCTTGCATTGTTGACAAACAAACCTGCTTTCCCGCTGTTGGTGATGTTGATCACCCTACTTGGAACGCTAGAGGGAACCATAGAGCCATTTGGAAAATGTAATAGATGACTGAGCAGTAACGATGTTGGAATAGAATGGCTGAGTATGAAATCATGGAGCTGATCTAGAGATATTGAGAACTGTGACAATTCATCGTCATTTGGCATTAGGAATGTCAAATCATTGTTTTGCATTGAATTTGGCTGGCTGTCGAGCATTTTGAGGAGGATGACAAATCCATAGTAAGACCGACTTCTCATGTCAGCCATGGCTGCCTCTAGGTCGGTTTGGTTGAATGAAATTGTTGACTGAGATTCACCAATGGCAAAGATGGTAAGAAGGAGCACAAACCAGAGAGCCATGAGGGAAGACTTGAATGTTTACTGTTCTGTGTTGTGTGATGAATGCAATGACATCTCAATTTGCTTGATATATATATATATATATAGCCATGTTAATGTTTCACGTTTATGTTGCCACACTTTTTTCCTCTCTAGGAGGTAGGTCGTAGGGCGGTTGTGCATGAAGAATACCCAGAAAGCTGATAATGCTTTGTTGCCCTATTCAGGTACAACACTGAAATAAGATAAATGAAAATAAAGAGTACAGGTGAAAACAAAAATTAAAGAAATAAAGATATGTAAAAATTGAAGATGGAATTAAAATTAACTACAAATTTTAAAAATATAAATATAAATTAAAAAGTTAAAATCACAGATAAAGTTAAAAATAGAATTAAAATTGCAGTATAACCAAAATTAGTTACCTGTGACTTTTCTAATGATCCTAAAATAGAATTGAGATTGTTTGAGTCTCCATCTTATCGTTTTACGCATTTTTGTTTTACATGAATCGAAAATTAAGGATTTATCATAGTGACTTAAACCTCAAATATCAACGAGCTATCTCATTCTTGTATAAGCAATTATGTACAGAAAAATAGGAATAAAATTATTTTGAGAGAGGAATCAGAAGAAGAGATGAAAGATGTGTTCGGAAGAAGAGATGAAAGATGTGTTCTGTTCTGTGTTTCCGAGACAGTGTGATTAAAGAGAAATTCATTCTCAGACTTTAACTACGGAAACTCCTAGACGCAGAACTTGGTCACTTCACACGAAACATTTGGTTCAGTTCTATCAAAACTTTATCCAGAAAAAGGAGAAAAAATGGGCACTAATAATAACATATTTTTATTTATAAATTGATTGAAGTAAATTTCAATTCATATATTATATTTCATTTGTTGTACAGTATGCTTGTTATAAAATCATATCTAACATTTATAAATATTTAATCTTATACTTTTTAATGTCTAATTCTTAAATTTATCAAAAATGTTTTATTACAAATTTTATTTTATTAGTTGAGTTTATAGAATGATTAGATTTTTATAATATATAGTTTTTATTTGTGATATTATATAACATTTTAAAATCACGTTTGAAAAGAGAAAACTTTTTTATTTTTTAGAGAATATTAGTTTTTTCTTGTTTGGAATCTGTTCTAAGAATATATATATATATATATATATATATATATATATATATATATAATTTTTTTTTCAGGATCCTTCACAGGAATCGTTTGAGGTTGGGAAGAAAAGTTAAAACTACGTTAGAAAGATTTTGTTATCCTTTTTACAAATATAAAATAATCAATCAGGATTCATCTCTATCAAAAAATCTCCATTATTGGGCATTGCATTCTTGTGAAGTTTAAAACGTTCCAGAAAATTAAATATATATAATATTGAACTATGATTATTCAAACGTGCATACTCTCAATTATTATTATTATTTTTTCAAAAAAATAATTCATATACATATTTCATTATGTGATTACTTTGAGGGGAATTGTTGTTATACTTTATTAAATTCTAACCAATTTTTTTTTACAAGATCGTGAAAAAATAAAATTTACAGCACTATTCTTATGCGAGAGGGAATATTCTCGTGTAGAATAATAAATTAAAATGTTAAATCATAACAAAAAAAAAATGTAAATGAATTGGTTCTGCAAGTAATAAAAAAATGAGAAGTGTTACCATATTCATGGACTACAAAATAAAAATCAAGGCGCATTGTAACCTAACCCTAAAAATCATAAAAAGAGCAAGAAGAAGATAAAGTTGAAGTGATACTATGAATCTTGGAGAATGATGGTAGAATATTTCTTCAAACTTCAATGAGAGTTGAATATTTTGCTTATGAGCAAGTAATAATGTAATATTTATTAAAATCAATGGTAAGTTTAGGACCACCAAAAGTCCAAGGCCCACTAAAATATTAAAAACAGAGCATGATGGAGAGAATAGCGTGGGAGCAAAAGTAAAAATTGCACTTGATACCAAGATTTTGAAAAAATGGTGTGTCTGAAAGCTAAGAGATTGATTAATAGTAGTTCCAATAATGGATTGAGTAACGAGATTGTAGATTAATGAGGAACTTAGAAGTTAGAAAAGTGGTTCCATAAAAACCATGCATATTGATGAATCACTAAAATTTGGAAAAGTTTTTGGGCAACATGGATGTTTGTTGTTAGCAACATGAAATGGTCTAAATTGATTCTGCTGTTGAAAACTTGAAGTGGCACTTGTTTGAAGTGTTAGTCGTGTCTCCACCTTTGGTGGGGGACACCTTCTCTTGCTCAAATACCCTCCAAACACTACCTCCTATCTGAGTAAAACAAAAATCATTTTTGAAATCTTCAATTTGACCAAGAGTCAATTTGGTAAATCATTGCAAGACAAGCTTAGAGATCATAATCTTCCATGCTCAATTTATAAACCCATTTCCATCCCCATCTCCTCTTCACACCCATTATTATAAACACCTAACAGACATTAATCAATTAATTAATCACAGAAATAGTGTTAACAAGCTCATTAATCCAGGCTTGCAGACATTTGAGTAGATTAAAATCAGCAGAGCAAAGGTTGCTATCAAGCTTGGTCAAGACAAGGCTGTGTGTCAGGAAAATAGATAGGTGAGCTAATTTATAATGTATTTTGTCTTTTATGGTTTTTGTCTCTGTTTCGATTAAGTTGTCAACTTCAACTTGTACATGTTACAGTTGCCGATTGTTTTTAGGAAGAATTATGAAAAATATGACATTCAGTAGTAATATTTATAAAGAACAATTCTAATCCATGGTTTTACAACCCTTCTCTTTGTACAAAACATATAAGAGATTAATAGAAGAAGATGAAGTTATTTTATGACAAGAATTTGTGTAGGCATGGGTAGGTGTGTACTAGGTAAGCTAGGGCACAGGGAGTAGTAGTGACAGTAATAGTAACAGTAATGGTAACAGTAACAGTAACAGTAATAGGAACATGTTTTGTAACATAGAAATTGAAAGGAAAGGAGCAGTTATTGTGTTGGCTGGGAGTGGCATCTGCAACAACAAAAGATGACTTGTTTATGTTCGTTTGGTAGCCGCGTTCCATCAAACCTCTCATGTTTCGCTCTGTTTCTTTCTTCTGCATCTTTCACATTTCACTTCGTTATCCCTGTACGTCAAAATATATCTTTAGGTAAAATCCAAAAAATAGGATAGTTTACATTTCGAAAATTATAATTTTATTTTAACACGTAATTTAAATTAATTTATATAAATTTATCAGATAGTTTATTCTATAATATATATATATATAATAAATTATTTTTAAAAATTATTTATATTAAAAATTTTAATAATACAAATTAGATTTTTTTACAGTTTAATAATTCAAATAAATTTGTATTTTAGATAATCAAATTATTAAAAAATTAATAAAAAAATTCTGATTAATATATAAATAATATATTTTAAATAAAATTTAATTTTATTAATTTAAATAAATTTAAATATTTTTTAAATTTTTTATTTACAATTATTTAATTTTTAGATGAATTATTTAATATAAATACGTTATAAATTTTTTAATTTAATTAAACTAAAATTATTTTAATTTTTATTTACTTTTATTTATCTATGTATTATATCTTTTTTATATAAATTTTAATTTAATGTTTTTAATAAAAATAAACTAAATTTGTGAATAATAAAATTTAAAATAATTATTTAATTAATGATAAGGATAAAAAATAAAAGATAAGATTTGAATTGAAAAATATAAAACTCGTATAAATTATAATAGTTAACTAAGTCTAACTTATTTTTATTATTATTTTTTCTATGTAGCATTTCTCGGATAATCTCATAACTAATATATTTTTAAAATAATACTTAACTAAAATTTATTTTATTTATTTAAAAAACACTAAATTTTCTCTTATTTATTTATTCAATTATACTGGATTATTGTTATAATATAGTTATTTTTTCTTTTCTATTTTATTTTTTTAATTTTTCTGTCTCTTTATTTATTCCTTCTTATTTTATTTTTTTGTCTTCATTTAATATTTTTTTCTTTTCTTACTTCATCTTATTATTTAATTAAAAATAATAAATTAAAAATTGATAAAATAATTTTGTTATTATTATTAAAACATAATTTTTTAAAATAATAGAAAAATATTAAATTTAATATATTATATTTAAATATATATATATATATATATATTTAAGATATTACGAATATTATTGCTATATTATAATTATTTTAAAAAATTAAATATTTATTTTAAAGTAAATTTTAATAAATATATTTTTTAATTATTTAATCTAACAAATTATTATAACTTAACCTTAATAAGTAAAAAAATATATTTAATTCATAAATATTTGATATTATTTTAATTAGATGACTAGTTATTTATTATTAAAAAAATAAAATTACTTATTATTATCACAATTTTAATTAATTAATTAATATTTTTTAATTTTATTGTCGATTTTAAAAGAAAAGAAAATAAACAAGTAAAAGAATAATTAAGAAAGATAGTTCTATATTATAGAAAATTTATCATAATAACAAAATAAAAAAATGGTTAAAGTGATAATTTTGTAATCTATAAAAATCATGATGTCATGATTATTTGTTCAAAGGCTACAAAATATTTTTGTTGATTTTTTATTTTAAAATATGTTTAAGACATCTGTATAATATTACTCCTTGACATATGAACATAAAAGAATTGTGATTGTTTTTAAACACATCATAAGGATATTTTTTTTTTAATATAACTTTAACCTTTATAAAAAGGTTAAATAAAGGCTGTTAATTACTGGTTTATAATAATAAATTACTACTTATTTAGTAGATGAAAATGAGAAGTTAAAAAAAATTGTCCCTCCTAAAGAATAAAGAAATAAATTTAGAGAACCGTCAACAAACCTTGAAACTTACTCTCTTAACCTATGATTAACTGGTTAATTTTTTATATATTATTCCCTACCTTTGTCCACAAGTTTCTTTGATTATTTAGCTCTGCCAAGTTGACTATTGGATTATTGTTGAACCAAACTCCACAACATGCAACCTTAAACATTTGAGACACATTTTAGAAACATGGGATGGTAATTAAGGTTTCATTCATTGTGGTTGGTGTGCAGGAATTTGAAAAAGAGTAGATGAAGAAAAATGGTAATATTGTGGGAAGAAAGGGAAATGAAAAGAAGAGAGATGAAGTTGCATTGCATGTCTTGAATAGGTTAAAACAATGAGTTATGAAGAAAAGGTGAGAAATGGTGTAGGAGGAATAATTAGAAATGGAATGCATATTCTTGAAGAGAAATCTTCCTAGGGAGAATAATAGGCATTGTGGTGGGTCTATGCCCAACTGGATTTTGTAATTATTGAAGCTACACATAGTTACTTGATGTGCCCCATACAGTGATGCACTTCCCACATGAACATAGTACTTAGCTCCAAAACATGAATAAATCAATAAAAATAAACAAGTAGATGGCAAGCATGGGAGTAGTTTCCATGGCAACAAGTGAAAAGAAAAGTTGGAAAGGGAAAGTAACAAAGCTTCCAATACCATTATGCCCAAGTGGATTACAATGAAGCATGGCCCCCACAAGTTTAAACCTTCTTTCTGTTGCTTTCATCATTCCATTAATTCTTATTCCTTTTCACCTCAAACTATTTTCTTGTCAATACATATTTCATCTTTTTACATCATAAACGTACTTCATGTTAATGGTGCCAAAACAAATTGCCAACCCCCATAGAAAAAAAAAACAAAAAAAACAAAGTAATGGTGCCAATCGGAACTTCTTCACCTTGCATCATCATATTCCAAAGTAAAGGTTTCTGAAAAAATGATTCCTTTATTACTTTAATTAACTTCACTAGAAAAGTATGAATCAGATTGACTTGGTCTATAGTTGACTATAGTTGAATATTTTTTATTGAATTGAAAAAATAACTTGTAAACGTTTTTTATTTGTTATGCTGTATATTTTTCACAACAATCAATTGACTTACATTAACAATAAAAACGACTAACCAGTCAAAACTTGTTTCTATATATTATTTGAAACGTTTCGTCCTCATCATTTATACAATTTTATGAAAACTTTTTCTTGTTGAGTGAAACTTAAAAAACATTCTTAACTTTAACAAGTTCTTCTAACATCATTAAGAACAGTAATCTGGCTGTATGTAAAAGGGTGTTGGGAGTTATTATTTTTGCTATAAATGACAAATATCACAAGCATTGTTAAAATCTCAAAAGTGGGCTCCACTTTAAATCTCGAAAAAAAAAATCTTACTAATCATTAATTAATAGCATAACCATACTTCCATATCCCACAATGATGGTTAACTCTGAAGGCAAGAAATTCACAGATCTAAGGGTTTTTGTGAAGTTGATGAGCACCTAATTAAGGTGATAAAAAAATGAAGCTAATATAAAATAGGCATGCAATGATGGTCAAAGCAATTATGGTTTTGATAGTAGTTTTTAATGTAAATGGGAGTTTGTTTAGTAGAATTTGGGGGGTTGATTCTGAATTTGTTTGATTATTATATATTGGTGGGTAAGGGATATAGCAGACATTCATTTTCTTTGATGCTCCCATTACACCTATATGCCTCTCATCAAACCTATATAATTTTCCTCAAAACCATTGATTCCAGAATCTTTTGGCACCATGCGCACATTAGCCTTCACCCCTCTGAATAATTGGCCATTCTTCTTCCAGTACATTTTCAACATGATATTACAGTATTACTTTCCACTTATGATGGAACTGGGAACGGGACAATGAGCTACGTGCATTGCCATTTTTACCCTTTTTTTTATTTTTTCTTTTTCTCTCTCTGTCTTTCAAATTCTTATTCCCTCACTCTCTCTCTCTCTCTCTCTCTCTCTCTCTCTCTCTCTTACTCTCACCGTTTCAGCAGAACCATTTCTTCTCACATTTTTTTTTTCTGACTCTCTTTATCTTTTCTGGCACTTAAATCCGTATTCTGCAGTGCCCAGTTGGAGTACTCCCTCTTTAAACACTGAAGGGTGCGGTCTTTTTCAACTCTTGCAAAAGCAAAACACCAAATACAAGTTAAAATTAAAAGAAAAATGTGAATTAAATTAAGACCCCAAATATTCAATTATGCTATTGCTAAAATAAAAATAAAAATAAAAATAAACAGTAATAATTGATATTAAAAAAATCTGATTATTTTTTTCTGCTTTTAATTTTTTTTAATCATGGATTTTTGTTTGCTTTTGGTTAAACCTTCCCCACCAGATGATGAGATAATCATGATACATCCTCAATTAGCTAATGCTGCACACCAAACTGGAGAGAGAGATTGACAGAGAGAGGGACACTCAACACTTTCTTTCTGAAAAACAAAATGGGTTTATATCAGCAAATTTGCAAGAAGATGATGGTCACTGTGTGATATTGTTCCACTCTTGATACTTCTTTTGGGTGTTCAGAGGTCAGTGAGGCAGAAACAACCTGTTATAGAAAAAGAACAAATTTTCCCATCTCATTCACAATTTCTCTCAGTGGGTTTGATTTGGTGTGATAATTACCCCATGCTCCTCTTCCACCTCTTCTTATTGTTATCTCTTCAACTACAAACTTCACGGATATCCACAAAAAAACAAACTTTTTGGTTGGACCACTCCAGTTCAAGCATAGTGGAGCTCCTTTCCTGAGATATACCAACTGGGTTTTGTGCAACTTTTTCTCTTTTGCCTGGTGGAAATAGCATAAAGTACCGAACTTTATGCGCCCTGAGGGGTGGATTGGTGAGAGAAATTTTGGGGTTTGCTTCAATTTTGCTTTGCAGTTGAAGATTCATGGTGGGGTGCCTGGTGCTTCAGTTTTTTGAATCTTCTGTTCAAGCTGGGGCTTGCCTTGAATCCTCAAAACTGTTACGTTGGTGAATTTGGCAAGTATGTCTGTGAATCGAAAGCCTCCAGCTTCGAATGGTAGATTGCCATCGAATATGAAGTCTTGGAAGGTGAATGAGCCTCTGCATGCGTCTAATTCTCCCAGGACATGTAAGTGGAAGCCCTTGCTCCTTTGGTTCTTTGGCTTTGTTGCCATGGGGACTGTTTGGTTCATTTTGAGTTTCAATAGTAACTATTTGGTGAACAAGGAGAATGAAGCAATTTGTGAAGAGAAAGCAAGAATCTTGCTACGACGTTACAATGTTAGTAGGGAGCAGATTCATGCTTTGGTCTCCTCGTTCCCTGGATCAGATCAGGTGAAATACACTCTCCCCCACTCTTCCAATTTGTAGCTTCATATATTGTGGTCGTGGAGGATAACTATTTACTCTTCCTTAGAAACCTTAACTATTTGGCTTCTTCTATTACTAACTGCTCTTTCTGTTGACCGTAATTTTCATCAAACAAACTACTTGTTGGGTTATATATTTGAACTAAGTTAAAGATGTAAAACAGTGGAAACCAAGAGATTGTCTTAATGAAAGAGTATAAACTATGGTCTTCTGATTCTTTTCACCACAAGGTTTTTCTAGCATCGCTTTAGGTCGTAGAACCGGTTAATTTCTAAAAGTGACGGATGCTCTCTTCCTAGTTTTTTAAAACAAAACATTAGTTGTTGCTGAGGTGAACATGAACAGTAAACAACGTGGTGCTCTTAATCCTCCGTCTTACCAGTCTATAATGCAGATTTTATTCAACTGTATTGATGAAAGAAGACTTCAAATGCTGTTAAGCAGCGGCATGGTCAGCACCCCACAGTTAATGTGTCCAGAGAATCAGGAGTTACAAACGGAGCATAGATGTGTAGCAGACACTGTAGAACCTATCGAACAATGTCCAATTCTCAATGATTATGTCCAGACAAGGGTTGAATTATCATTCCCATTGAAAACTTATGTACCATTGGCCTCACGCATTGCACTTTCGACTGATTTGATTAGTTATTTGCTCTGTGGAAAGGTAGAATCTTTATTAAAGCTAAAAGTTGTATTTGTTTTGCTTAATTGTTCAACAATTTAAATTGCTGGTTCTCCTAAAACATTTTTAGTACCTAAGAATTATAGCCTAGGTTACAATTCCCTTTTCTCACTGCTCAACCTGTCCTTGGGGGGCATAATATGGTAGTTGATTGAATGGAGATAAACAAGTTTAGTGACGAACTCTAGCATTCCTATATATTCTTTTCTGTAATAATGGTGAGCTTGTGGAGGCTAGGTGAGAAATCCTACTAATAATGTATCATCTGACTCTATAGTGGTTCCATTTTGTATGCACTTGAATGTAATCAATAGCTTCCCTTAAATTTCGTATTCAGAACCATAACATTCTCTTTAGCTTGGCTAGTGCCACAATAAATCTTGTCTTGGTGTGTAAAAGACAGGGCATTACCAGTGATAGACTAGAATTTCAAATCATTCAACCTACAAATTAACATTATAATATAGTCATATCAATGGAAAAGTAGTGGTTTGGGTTAGTTGCTCCAAATATTGTCTTTCTCATGTTGTGATTTATACCCCAGACTTTGCTTCCAAGCTTGTACTATAACTATGAAAACATGCACTCCTTGCTTGCTTATTTGAACAAATACTTCCTTCAAATAATTAATTTGCTAATTCATTTTTGGCTCTGCAGAAGATCGTGCAATCATGGAAACTGAGGGTATCTGCAATTCGGGGCCGTATTAGTTCATCTAATTTAATTAATGGTTGCTGGTGGGCCCCCATCGGAATTACAATCTCCTGCTTCTGTTTACTTTGGAGGAGTCAAAAGAAGAAGCTACTTCAGGGGCATCCAGCTGCACAACAAAAGTGGCTTAAACATTTTCTATGGGATCCTTCAAGCGGTGCTGGGAGGTGGAGGAAAAAGTTACTAGTTATATTTGTGTCACTAGGAATAATTGGGTCCTTTTGGTTATTTTGGCACCTAAATATGGACATTATGCATAGAAGAGAAGAAATGCTAACCAATATGTGTGATGAGAGAGCCCGAATGCTGCAAGATCAGTTTAATGTAAGCATGAACCATGTTCATGCTTTGGCTATCCTTGTATCTACCTTTCACCATGGTAAACATCCTTCTGCAATTGACCAGGTACTGTACTCAATTTTCCCACTCCCTCAACTCATGAGGACTTACTCATGGTCAATGACTAATATTTTGCAGGCTTTTGCTTAGTGTATCTTTTGTGAACCTAATTGACATGTTTGTGCAGCTTCATGGTAATAAAGGATAGAATATAAGTTTTTTGTTTTGTATGCTAAGGAAGGAGAGCAAAATATGATTCTAAAACTCATCTGTAAAACTAGGGCAAAGGCAGGGTTTCTCACTTTCATGTAGTAACAACTGCATATACATTAAATAAAATAAAATGGGCAAGAGAATAATGGGAAAAGGTGGGGATGCTGAAAAATATGATAATATTGAAAAACAATGGAGGAGTCCAGGTTGAGCCATTTATCCGTAATTTGTGGACAACATGAGCTATTGAAAAGTATGGACAATGAAGTTAAGCTCTTGCTTTATGATTAGTTTTTCTCTCCACAACTAGCCCAAAATAAATCTTCTAGCTTCTCTGTTCTCTTTCATTGAATTATGGTAATGTTGTTGCCAAAAGAAATCTTGAAGGTGAATGTGAATAAGAGTATCTAACGAATTCATTTTGGTACTTTTACTAGCTATACTAAGAGAAGCATATTTTACAGCATTTTTCATTGTCATTGCCATAGTCTTTTATTAGCCAGGTCTAAATCAACCCCAAAACTGGGTCGAGGGAGTTGTCCGAGCCTCATAAGGAATAATTTGGTTGGCCATATTTTTAGCAAATGTGGAGCATTGTAACATGCATCCCCTCATACCCAGGACTACATATCAAAGTGTGAAGTTCTCAAGGCTAGACATATACAGGTGGCCTAACATCAAGATTGAATAGGCTTTGGTATCATATTTGAAATGGGTGGGCCTAACTAACTCAACTCCAAAAGTTATCTCAAAGGGGAGGGGGGGGAAGGTGCTTGGAGTATTTTGACCATATTTGTATCTAATGTTGGACATCTTACTAGCTTCATAAATTTTCATTTAATATCTGCTAATTTTACAAAAAAGACATGCTAGGTGTAAACTGGGTTCCTCTTTTCGTTTGTAATAATTCTGATGTGGTTAACATGGTGAATTTGAGTGTATTAGACTTGTATGGTTTGGATATGTGAGAATATTGCATAGTGTTTCCAATTCAAACCACATTATATTTATGATCCTTCAACTCTGCCATTTATATGTTGTTCTTGTTGTAATATTATCCATCTCAAGGGAAAAGAAAGTTCATGAAAAGAGAAAAAGTTTAGAAAAAATAACAATGAAGCTTCTGTTTCACTGCAGAAAATTTTTGGAGAATATACAGAGAGTACAGCATTTGAAAGACCACTTACCAGTGGTGTTGCTTATGCTTTGAAAGTTCTTCACTCTGATAGGATGCATTTTGAGAAACAGCATGGGTGGACAATTAAGAAAATGGAAACTGAAAACGAGGCATTAGTCCAAGATTGTATTCCCGAAAATTTAGATCCAGCACCCATTCAAGATGAATATGCACCGGTGATATTTGCTCAAGAAACGGTTTCCCATATTGTATCTATTGACATGATGTCAGGGAAGGTGTGCTTTGCTTAGCTTGCTGTCATCCTAAACATGATTACTTTTTCTAAGCAATTGTGGGGCAGTATGGCTTAAAACTGCAAATTTTACATTCCACGTTATTGTTTTTACCCTGTGTATTCTGCACTAGTATGAGAAAACTAGAGTGTGAAGTCATTAGTTAGAAAGACATTTGTCAGTTGTATTTTCTTTATGGAAGGTAGTAGCATTAGATGCTTGAAGTTTTATGCACAGAAGGGAATACTAGAACTGGAGATAACTTAACAGTGTATCTTATATAATTTACTTTGAACAGTGAAAGTTAAATTTGGGATAAACAGAATAAACTACATACAAGAGTTTTACTTTTCAATATCAATAAGATGACTCAGAGCACTGGCATCACCTGTTTTTCATGTTTAATCAGTTTATTTACTGTCATCTCAATGATGTCTTAACAAGACTAGGAGTTATTATCTATAGAATTATTTGTCAAATTTATCTGGCTGTCTAAAAGAAAATATTTACATTGTTACACAGGAGGACCGTGAGAATATTTTGCGAGCAAGGGCATCTGGAAAGGGGGTTCTCACATCCCCTTTTAAACTACTTAAGTCCAATCACCTGGGTGTTGTACTTACATTTGCGGTGTATAACACTAATCTTCCTTTAGATGCTACACCAAAGCAGCGTATTGAAGCTACTGTGGGGTAATCTTACAGGCCACAGAAAACTGTATTGTTTAAAATATGCATTTCATTTGTGCCCTGACCTACCTCCTCCTAAGAACAGAGTTATAAAAGTATCATATGCAGGTATCTGGGTGCATCTTATGATGTTCCATCACTGGTGGACAAGCTTCTGCATCAACTTGCCAGCAAGCAAACCATTGTCGTAAATGTTTATGACACAACTGATGCATCTGCACCTATCACAATGTATGGTACTGATGTTGCTGACACTGGCCTACTACACATAAGCAGCCTAGATTTTGGGGATCCGTTACGAAAACATGAGATGCACTGCAGGTTTGCTTTCATGCTGAAAGAATTCTGTGTTATGCCCAAAGAATTGAAATATCATCAGTGCATTTTCGTTTCCTTTTGTTTTGCAGGTTCAAGCAGAGGCCTCCATTGCCTTGGACAGCAATCAATGCATCAGTGGGGGTGTTTGTTATAACTTTGCTTCTGGGTCATATTTTTTATGCAGCAATAAATAGAATAGCAAAAGTTGAGGATGACTATCGAATAGTGAGTGAGCTGAAAGGTCTTGCTGAAGCTGCAGATGTGGCAAAATCCCAGGTATGATATATTTATGGGATTTATGCTTTCTGTCATGTAGCATAATTGTTAGCCTTGTGGCTAGAACATTGGAATTCTCTTACCCAATTCCTATGTCTATTGCATCATGATCATCATCATTTAACGTCAGAATTATTTCTGATAGTTTATAAATTCTCTTAATTAAAAATATTTTGGTCTTTCACCTCCAAGGATTGCTTTCCCTTTTTGTAGTTTCTTGCTACAGTTTCACATGAGATCAGGACTCCAATGAATGGTGTTTTAGGTAATTGAAAGTATTTGATGTTTTAATAGATAATCCCAACCTGTCAGTACTGGTGTCAGCCATTTCAAATCATTTTCCAGGTATGCTGCAAATGTTGATGGACACTGAGCTCGATAAAAAACAGATGGATTATGCCCAAACTGCACATGATAGTGGTAAAGATCTCATATCAATCATAAACGAGGTTCTTGATCAGGCTAAGATTGAGGCGGGAAAGCTTGAACTTGAAGCTGTAGCTTTTGACCCCCGTGCTATTCTAGATGAAGTCTTATCACCTTTCTCTGAAAAATCTAAAGGAGTAGAGGTGAGATACTATCTTTCAGCTACCTTAGTTTTGTACCTCCTATAGTTTTTACGTTTAGTCTTACATGAACTTCTGTTCTCTATACTTTTTGGTAATCCAGTTGGCTGTTTATGCATCCAATCAAGTACCTCAAGTGGTCATTGGTGATCCTAAACGGTTCCGGCAAATAATTACAAATCTTGTCAGCAATTCAGTCAAGGTTTGATGTATTTCATGCTGTATTTTTTGTGATTCATTATCCTTCACATATATTGTAATGCTGGAAACATCTCATAATTTTAGGCCCTGCTGCATTTTCTCCCGTTAAAGTAGTATACTAGGCATTGTAACCCACCTTATCAATTAGTCCATTAAGTTTTTTATCTTATCCTTTTGAAAGCGTGGATTGATTTTGAGACATCAAAGCAGAGTTAATAAGTAAATTAACCCAAAATCCTGGTCATATTGAGCTATATTCACTATTTCTTTACAATATCACCATTTTGTATTTAATATTATTTTACTTTCACTAGCAAGTGATTGGTGCCAATAGGAAGACATTGTAATAAATTAATTATACATAAAAAATTTAAAGGATTTATATGTGTTTCTCTTCTATTTAGACTGAAAAAATCTTTCACAATTTGATATTAAATTAATGGATCTTCTCATTGTCAGAATAACAGAGAAGGAATCTTGATACTTATTTATAATCTGTGTCAATTAGTTTTTACTTGGTGCATTTCAGTTCAATCATGATAAAGGGCATGTCTTTGTCTCTGTTCATCTGGCGAATGAAGTGAAGAACCCACTTCATATAATGGATGTAGTGCTGAGAGAAGGCTTCAACATCAATCAGGACATAGCAAACAGAACATATGATACATTAAGCGGGTTTCCTGTATGCAACAAATGGAAAAGTTGGGCAAATTTTAAGAAGTTAAGTAGCACAGATGAACCTGAAATTATTCAACTATTAGTAATAGTTGAGGACACAGGTACAGGAATTCCTACGAATGCTCAAAGCCGCATTTTCACACCTTTTATGCAGGCTGATAGTTCCACCTCCCGAACATATGGTGGAACAGGAATAGGACTAAGCATTAGCAAATGTCTAGTTGACCTCATGGGAGGAGAAATTGGATTTGTAAGTGAGCCTGGAGTTGGAAGTACTTTTTCCTTCACCGGAACTTTCAGAAAAGGAGAAAACACGTCCCTGGATGCAATGTGGCAGAATAATAATTTTGGTACAGAGTTCCAAGGATTAAGAGCATTAGTAGTAGATAGAAGAAAAATCCGAGCTGAGGTCACAAGATATCATTTGCAGAGGTTGGGAATGTCTGCGGATATGACTGACAGTCTGAATTTTGCATGCTCTTGCCTATCTAATACTTGCAACATGAGGTAATTTATCATTCTAAAAATCTAGACCTGTTGACAGTTGTGCACAATAAGAACTTACCTATTTAAGATATGACATTCTTCAATAGCATTAGAGCTGTAACAAAATATATAGAAGTAAATATTGCTCTGAACTTAAAGTTAACTAGTTAGACTTCAGAATACTTCACATGTACTAGTCATTTATGATGTAAACAGGTAATATAAAATATCAGTATCACCTGCTTTGTGATTAATGGAGAAAGAAAAAAATAGGTGACATGCACAATAATAGTTTTTTTTCCCAGGTGACCTAATGATCCTCAATGCATGGTTTCACGATAAATATGAATGTTGCATGATCTTCTGAAGGTTTAAGGTTCTTGGTGTTCTGGGGAAAATTCAGTTCCTGTATTAATAAATTGTTATTAATTGACTTTTTTGAATTAGGTGGATAAATTTCTAACATTATTAAGATAATATCCATTTCCTGAAGGTAATTACTTGAGTTCAACGGTAGTATCTTTAAGGTGAAAATATCCATGAAGTAAACATGAAGGTTATCTATTTCTAGTTCATAAACTTGTACTGGACATTATGTTATGATTTGCTAAATTACTACTTTTGCTTTTTCTTCAGTATGTTAAGCCAGTTGGCCATGATTCTGATAGACAACGATGCTTGGGATAAAGAATGTCTTATCCTATACAGAATCAGGAAGCATAGACAGAATGGCATCAAAGTGGATCCAATAACCTTACCGAAGATTTTTCTCCTGGCCGCCCATCCTAGCACCAATGAGCATGATGAACTCAAGTCAGTTGGTATCATAGATGATATACTAATGAAGCCTCTTTGCCTTAGTTCTTTGGTTCACTCTTACAGAGAATCCGTTGGCACTGAAAATAAGCAAGTAAATAGGAAGAAAGTATCCAAACTTGGGAGTTTATTAATGCACAAACAAATTTTGGTGGTTGATGATAATGCAGTGAACAGAAGAGTTGCAAAAGGTTTTCTACAGAAATATGGGGCAAAAGTTACTTCTGTGGAGAGTGGCATGGCCGCTCTAAAGATGCTTAAACTGCCACATAATTTTGATGCTTGTTTCATGGATCTCCAAATGCCAGAAATGGATGGGTATTTTATCATCTTATTCCTATTCTTTTAAGTTTTCTGAATTTTAATTGCAAATGAATACACCGTTGATGGCTATAAGAATAGATCAAAGGAGCAATCACTGGTCCAGTAAGTATATTTTGTTGTAGATAAAAACACGTGTAAAACAGTAGATATGAACTGGTGCCAAAAGTTAGGCCCCTACTCTTATTTTCTTTTGCTAAAGAACCTAATGCCTAGAATATTGTAACCACGACTGATTTTTCCTAGGTCTCATGACTGTTTTGTTGGCTTGGAAAAGGGTCTACTACTCAATAATCTGTAGCAATAATTATATAAATAGATATTAAGATTATGCTTTTGCCTTGTAATTAATTTTGTTAGAATATATGAAAATATGCTATTAAGTTTTAGATTATCCTCTGGGCTTAGTTTCCCAGTTTTGCCCGAGGCTCAGTTAGTGTATTTAAGAAAGTTGATAAATCCTGTAATAATCGGCATGCTATTATTATGTTATATTTAGTTTTCTAGATAGAATCTCACACATCTGGATCCATGTGAATATTTTACAAGTACTTCTCTTTATTTTAAATGGACAGTTTTGAAGCAACCAGGAAAATCCGCCGCCTGGAGAGAGAGGTAAATGAGAAAATTGCCTGTGGGCAAGCATCTGCAGATATGTTTGGTAACATCTGTTATTGGCACATTCCAATACTAGCAATGACAGCAGATGCAACTCAGAGTTCAGATGAAGAGTGCAGAAATTGCGGAATGGATGACTTCGTGACGAAGCCATTTGAAGAAGAGCAGCTATATACGGCAATGGCACGTTTCTTCTAGCCAGATTCATAGTGTGGAAGTGCCAAGTTTAAATCTTTGATTACTAGCGCAGATACCCGGCTGACAAGTGTTGACTGACCTTCAGCGTGATGTGTAGTATAATTCAAGCAACATATGCCAAGTATCAGTTTTCCATTAAAAGAGCTAGCTGGTGGATTAATTTTGGGTGGTTATGTCCAGATATTGTAATGGTTGGACATGTCCCAGCTGCTGTGTTCCTAATTGAGACCGCTTCTGCATCATGGATCTCACCTATGGTCTTGTTTCATGATAGTAAGTACCATGTTCATCATCCCTGGATTTTATATTGTAATTGCCTTACATTAATTTATTTATGATAAATTTGTTACAATTTTAAATTGCCACCATGGTGAGGAGTATAGGACTATTCACCCATTAAAAAATTTTGTTCCTTTTTCTCATTTTTTTCCAGGATGCTGATTGCGAGTTAAAAGATATTATACTGCAGAAAAGGAGGTCAACAGAAGGCATAATTGCATTTGTGTACATAACCCGTTTGTGGTTCCAGCTTCCCATCTCTTAATATTCTTTGTATGTATTTATTTACAGCAAGTAGATTAAGATATAAAATGTTACAGTGACGACGATATTAATTCATTTTTTGGGGCCAAGATGAAAAAGGGGTGACAGATCTTTGAACCCTCAGAATTTTGTATGTAACTTGTAAAGCAAAGTTATCACATGATACCCGTAGAATGGCATATGTAACAACATTTTGTGAATTGTGAAATTGAAACTTGTAACTGAGTTGTGACCTTTTTTTTTTTCCGCTAAATATTGTCAAGGCTAAAAGAATGTTCAATTCATTAAAGTTGAATATTGAGCTACAAGTAAGGCTACAGTTTTGGTAGATGAGACACAGCAGAACATGAGGACCACTAACCAACCAAGACTTTTTTTCCCACTGAAAAAGGCAACAACAAAAAAAAGGTGGAAAAGCAGAAGTTGTGGGGAAAGTAAGGGAGAAAGAAGGAGGTGAGAAAAATAATGATTTTGTCATTGAGAGGGAAAAAAGGTAAATCGTTGTTGAGTTGGGAGAACTTCTGACAGTAGAGAAAGAATATAAGTCTTTTCTGTGCGTTTTTCTTTGTGTGATTGTGGAGCACGTGACAGAGCACAACATAACCGCAGAAATTGGAAGTGGCGTCAGAAATAACAAATAATTTTGTGCCATATTATATAGCACAGTTCTTTCTGTCAATGATAATCATATTGACATCACGCACGATCCACTTGCAAGGGAATAACGTAAAATTCCTTCTTAGCCGTTAGAAAGAGACCATAACTTCCTTGCTTTTTCTTTGTCTATCTCTGTGTACTATATATAGCAACCACAGTGCTTATTATGTCTTTGATATTTATTCTATACACTCACTAGTCTTTATCCATCACCAAAGTCTCTCTTATCTTTTCTACAAAAATGGCAACATTCATGCTGAAGTTAATGCTATCTCTACTTTTCCTGTCCATGATTCCTCCAGAAACAGGTAACAGAAACGTACATCCTAAAACCCCATAAATAAAAACTTTAAATTGTTCCCAGTTACTTTTCTCCCTCTGGCTATTGTTTGCATTGTGTTCATCTCAAGAAGTACATTGGATGCATGCAGCATATGCGGAGTTTGAGCAATGGTGTGTTGCTGATGAGCAGAGCACTGAGAATGAATTGCAGACAGCCTTGGACTGGGCATGTGGAAAAGGAGGTGCAGATTGTAGAAAAATTCAAATGAACCAACCTTGCTATTTTCCAAACACATTAAAAGACCATGCTTCTTATGCCTTCAACAGCTACTATCAGAAGTTCAAGCACAGTGGAGGTTCTTGCTACTTCAGAGGAGCTGCCATGACAACAGAAGTGGATCCTAGTAAGTATCAAACAGATTCCTGATAATCACTCTCTGATTTCCTATTTTGGTTTTTAACTAGGACACATGCATGTTCACCTGGCAACGGGTGAAGTTTTAATGAACCTGATGCTTGAAGGTTAAATATGTTAAGCATAGATTTTACAATTAGATCTAAAACATCTGGACAACATTCAAAATAATTGAGTGTGCCTGTGAGACAAAAATTTGAACTGCATTCACGTGTGTAATGTTGTCACTCTCACCAAACCAATTTTGGACTAATCAACTGAGGAATTGGCAATGAATTGGTCTTAGTAATACTTCAAAGGAGGTTGAAAACTAAATCCATATTTAAAATAATTGAAAATCGATTTAAAGAATAAAAAATCAACCAAAACAAATATTTAATTTATGTTATTCTTAACCGCATACAGGAGTCTCTTTTCAGTTGTCAGATATTAGATTAATCACGAATTTAAATTGTTCAAGATTTAAAATCTAGGGTTTGAGATTTTGCAGAGATTTTATGAAAAATGGTGATGGATAACCTTTGAACGCTGAATATTTGTCCACAGGTCATGATTCTTGTCACTATGACTTCATTCCATGATCGAAACCGGCAATGAAGACTTACAGAATCTGCAGCAAACTCCAATTAAGCATTTCTTTTGGGACTTTTTATTTTATTTTATTATTATTATTATTATTATTGATACATCTCAAATTGCAAAACCAATATATTTATTTCTTTTTCCTATATTAATGTGTGTAGTACCAACAGTTCTGGACTGGACAGGCTCAATTCAAATAAACTTGGCCTGCTCCTTCCTACACCCCAATAATTTTTTCTGCACCCCCAATAATATATATAAAATGTTAAAAATGTCTTGAAAACAGTTTTTCTCTTCCGCATCACACCTCCATACCAGCACCACATCACTTCTTACGTCTTCGTTTAAGTATCATTTTCACTTTTAAGATTAAAAATTTACTGGTGATTTATGCTTTAATAATATAACATGTATATAAAAATTCTTATAAAAAAATATATTTGATTTGCATTTATGATGTTCCAGATTGTTGAATAAGGAATATTATTTTAGAAAATACAATAAAAAATAAGTTCTAGATAAGTTAATCTATAACTCAATTTTGGATTGCGTTTTCTTAAAATATATTTTAAATTATTAAATCTAGAATATATTTTTAGTAAATACAATTTGGAACTTATTTCTATATTGTATTTTCTAGAAATTTTATAGATTGATCTTTTTCGGAAGTTTTTTTGAAATATTTTTAGAATCAGTTTTTTTGGAATATATTTTCAGAAAGTTGATTCTGAAATATTTTTTAAAATTTTTTAGAAAGTTCAATCTGAACAAAATTTAGAATAAATTTTTCAGAACCTATTTACCTTAGGAATAATATTGTGATTTAAGATAAACATGAGAGTTTAAGAAGAAAGTACTGCGAGTAAAGGAAGAAACAAGACCTTGTACAAAGAAGTCAAAGACAATGTTTGAATTAGCCTAATTTCCTTTGTATAACATATTTGTTGGATCATCTCCCATTCATTCTGGAATAAAAATAAAAATAAAAACACTCTTGCTTCGTATATTTCTATAATTTCTTTTTACACCTCCATACCTAAAGTTATATATCTAAAATATTCTTCTCATAATTTTATTTTTTACCCTAACTTTTTTTTTCTTCTTCTATTTGTGTATAACTTCTACACCTCCATCCCTTAACACCTCCATCTTTTTACTATTTGATTTTTTGTACTATCACCTCCATTAAAGGTATTTTCTAACAATTAAATATAACTAATAATTAATATTATATATGAATTACATATTCTTGTACTAAAATTACACAAATATATCCAAATTGCTCAATCTGAAATGATATTGTGAAGATGAGATTTAATTCCAGAAAAATCAATCCAAAAATATATTTCAGATTGAATCATCCAGATTGTGTTTTCGAAAGGTCAATCTGAAAACACATTCTAGATTGGGTATTCCATAATATATTTTTAGAAAAACTAATTTAAAAATACATTTCAAAACACCAAATTCAAAATATATTTTCAGATTGGACTTTTTGGAAATACATTCTGGATTAGATGTTTTGGAATGTGTTTTTGAAAAGGTCAATCCAAAATGTATTCCGAAGATGAAGATAAGTAGTATAAGGTTAAAATGAAAATTAATATAATTCTGGGGTGCAGGAAGCAACACCGAATAAAAATAAAAATTAAAAAAAGTTCATTATAAAATGAAAAATAACCCAAGAAATATAAGGTACTAACTTAGAATTTGACTAGGACATGTTGCAAAACTCATATATAACTAAGTTGTACATGTGACGATGTACATTGAATTATAACTATTCAAAAAAATTGAATATTACACAAATTATACGGACTAATGCTAAAAGAAACTTGACAATTTCAACTCTTTTTTTCGTGTTTTTTTTTTCAACGAATTTTACTCTTTTTAAGAATGATACAAATAAAAGGCTAAATGGGCCTCCTTACCTGAAGTACGGCCCATCAACAGGTAAGTTATGTTTTTCATGATATATTAGTGAAAGAACTTCACAAATTTGTTTGCCTCAAAAATAGGAAATATTCATTCCTGTGTAATGTTTTTGGACTTTCAATGGTTTGTCCAATACTCAAGGAACCAAATTGAGAAGCCAACAAGAGTCAACCAGAATATAATTTGAGGGTGAAGCATTCTACTGTCTGTCACAATTTTTTTGAATTTGGAATTAGAATTAACAGGATGGTTCCTCCAAAGTCAAAGTCCTTGGTGGACTCTGCAATTGAATAAATTAAATAAAGCAAACATTCTGATTGAGACATCAAAAGTATAAATTATTTGAGGAGTAATCCTAGCACAGAAGTCTCACCAAAAGCATATATACTAATTATGGAGTTATTCGATTCGAGGCAGGAGTTAAAACACACCATTCTTTTTGTAAAACTGTAATCTTTTTTACTTGTTTAACTTAATCCTAAATTATTATTTCTCTTGGTCAAACTTTTTTCTAAGAAAATTGAGTAGAAAATATGAGGTGACGATGTTGACCTAAAAATGGCTTGGTTTACCGGTTAAAATATGGTACACTATGCTTGACAAGTGGGCAATTTGTTTCTTCTAGTCCAATATTTCAACTTGATATTCCTAAATGTAAGAACTTAGAAGGAAAGAAAGAGAGACCCTGCCAAACAATTTTTCTTTGTCTGATGTGTTGGAATGTCCTCGTCAAATCACTGACTCTGACTTCATATTTGACGATTTATAAATTGCAATTGGTAATGATACCTAAATTCTGGAAAATAACTTAGAATCAAGCACTAAATGCTTGCTTACCTGGTCCATCAGAAATTGGATGGAACGTGTCACTTACTTTTTGGCCTATAGTATGCTTTTCATAAAAGATAGTGTCATTATTCTTTACTTCTGCACAAAAGAGAGGTGAAAATCAATAAAAAATAATAGACAAACTGATACTTGATACAAGTATACACTCATGCACACACCCTCGCATGCATTAGCATTTGGCAACTTGAAGTTTAAAAATATTTATTTGGAGTAATGGATTTGTATGATTTGTAAATAGAAAAGGAAAAGGGTAACCCAAAATCAGATTTGGAACAAGAACACATGCGAACTCCTCCACCACACACTTCCCAATTGGAATTTGCCGCGTCAGGAACACATAAAAATGCATAGGGTAGCCTAAAAATATGGAGTGAGTGAAGAATTTGTTCCAAAGTAAAGATTGGCACATGTGGGGTGAGGGACCCATGTGTTGGCCAGAACTCATGGCAGAACATGTTGTTGAACAATGAAAACCCTTTAAAATTTAGGAAATCTGCACTTTGGAAATTGACAGGATAAGAATAGGACAAATTCTGCAGATAAAAAAGAGAGAACACCAAGGTAATATATCTCCCCAAAGCCCTTACATGGGCGGTGCCATGACAGAGAAACTGGATACAAAAGTCAAGATCTTTCATCATAGCTTTTGGCTTTGAAACACACTCCTGAAACTTGGTAAAGTTTCAGAAATGTAATTGGACCGAGTTTAAGTCTTGCCCCACATAGCAGCTACTGTGAGTGTGTTCATAAAACATTCATCAATCTAATTTGGTTCAGCTCCATTTTAGGAATTAGGAAACGGGGGACAAATATTTACCAGCAAGGCCTACATTCTCTCTTTATAAATGCAATTTACAATACTTTGCATCCTAAAGTACTACAATCTGCATGCCAGGGTCCAGGGACTACCTTTTGCTCTTTGATCAGACAATTAAAAACTTCCATGTCTAGACTTCCTCCTCATTTTGATAAGCTTGTGCAGTTTGGTTAATCATTAAAGTTTGAGTTTCCAAGTTTTTACTTTTACTGTTCTTTTTGTTTTTCTACCCCAGATTTTTGTCACACTATGGTAAACAGTATTCTCCTCAATAATATTACAACAATTGACACTGTAAAAAAATCCAAGTTTTAAGTTTTAAATTAGCTTTAAACTTGTTTTTATATATATATAATTAGGAAATTATAGTTATGTAATATGATTGAGAGGTGATTATATAGCAAGTGTGTAATTATAATTCAATATCTAGATTTGTGTGGTGGAAGAACATCGATTAAGAACACCAGGCCTTGATTGTTAAGGGATACTGTTCTACCAACCCATTTCACATCTAGCTGAAAGCAAATGAATTCCATTATGAGAAATAAATATGTTAATTAAATAAGTAGAAAATCGTGCATATGCAACAGTAATGCAAGTTCATTCTGAGAGTTCAAGTTCATTTTCGTGCTTTGGGAATGGGGGACAGAGGCAGCCCTACATTCCCCAATATAAGGCATGCAATTTATGTAGGATCTTCTACCCTGAAGTGCCATTCCACTGGTATGGTCAGATGCAAGCATTAGGTCCTTTCTGATTGAGATATCTACCAATTTCTTGTCTCTGCTTATCATTTTGATGTGTGCACATTGACAAATGATTAGAGGAGGGATAATATAAGATATGTTTAGGCTCGTATTTTAACAAATTCAAATGCATCTCATTATTTTAGAGAGATTGTTCATATATATATATATATATATATATATATATATATATATAATAAATAATGTGAAGGTGCCATGAACAAAAATTCAGATCTCATAATGATGGCTACATAAGAAGTCATCTCCTAAAAGCCCTTAACACTGGACATGACAAATAACGGTAGTTATCAAGTGTTTGGTCCAAAATTATGACAAAAAGTGAAGAGTAATGTTTGTTGTGGTTTGGATGAGTAATTCACATGTTAAATTTAACATTTGGAGTCGTTTTGGCTCTAATTTTAGTGTATCATACTAAATTCCTAAAACCTCCCTTATTACTATCATTTTAACTCTTCATAAACCCTAAACCACTGAAATTACTCTTTTTCATTAGTGGAGATGAAGGCCAACACAGTTGAAACAACAGCCCAACTGCAGAATGGTGATTCCACTCGTAAAGCAAAGAACACCCAGATTTGTACAGTAACTTGCATTCCAACATTATTTTATTCAAATTTGGAAGTTTCCTTATGCTTTATCTTTAAAGTTTCAACTCTGATGATATCCAAATCCTTTGGGCAATTAATCTAAGAGGGGGGAGTTATTTAACATGATATGAAGATCTAAATGTTGGGGAATCAAATTAGAGTCGTTGATGATGGCAAAATGGGTTATGTCACTTTCATTTCATTTCAAATAAAAAAAAAATGATTTGAGAGGGATAAGAGATGATCATGGCTTGACCTAGAAGCTAAATTAAGTACATGTTCCACAATATGTAAAATAAACAACATTTCCCTCTCTTGGTAGATCTTCCACACAATCGCTGGCGCACACCAGAATAAACACAAAACTCCAAATTTGAGCAATTGACAAATAAAGGGTAAATAAGGATGTGTGTGTGTGTGTGGGCCATTATGCACACTCAACTTTGGAGTGGACAAAGTATTACCAAGATTCCCTTTTTTTTTTCTTTTTCTTGTTTAGTTCTTTGGTACATTTGATTCCCCAAGCATATTTAAAGGGGAAAACTACTTCCCAAATCACATCAATGCACTCTTTCATGTTTTTGTTTTGGCAAGGGGGCTTTATCATTTTTATGAATAATGGATGCATAATAATTTGGCACTTTGTGATTTTATTCATTTGCGGGTTGTAGAGAAAAAATTACGCATTTTTTGCCGTTGGTTTTTCAGCATTTCATTACGAACATGATCCAACAATATCACCAGAGCACGCGTATAAAGCGACACAGTGGACCTTAATAAATAATAGTCGTTAGTTGCTCTCTCCTTTGTCTTTTTTTTCTTAATTTTCTTCGAAAATAGTCAGTTTATTTGAAATTTGAGATTCTAAACAACGTGGATTCAAAGTATTGTTTCCAAAAACTTGATATACATGTAACATGTTGTATCAGTCAAGTTGCGCACTGGGGACTGCATGAATTCAAAATGAAAAAACCTATTCACCATTTGTTTCTCATAATTAAATTTACACGAAATTAATAATTATTGCCGATTTTTTAAATTCACTTCACCTACCTTATTGCAGTTATCGTCCAATCCTTTTGGGTTTTAATAAGTTGAAGACGCTATTATGAAAGTTATAGTCCAAGAATGCGCACTCTTCAATAATTTGAGTTTGTAACTTTCCATCGACTGCATCATTATATCTTCAAATTGGATTAGGATAAGAGTTAGTGATTATTTTAAAGCTCTTTAATTGGAGATTCTTAATTGGATGTTTTCGAGATAAGTTCAATGGATTATGAAAGAGAATAAGTGCAACAAGCAAAATTAATATAATATAAACAAATGTACAGTTAAAAAAAAAAAAACTAAATTAGATAGAAAGGGATCAAATCAAGTGCATGTTAGCTGAAGTGTAAGGCACTACTTCTTAAATCATTGATTCCATTGTCTTTAAAATGTAGGCTTCTCTTCTCTCTCTTCTAACTTCTAACTCAACCGTGTGGTGTGGGTCATTATCTTACTTGGAGTAAGAAATGTCACTTTTCAATCTCAACCCTTCACTCAATAAGTTTGCTCACACACACTCTTTATCTTTCAGTGTTATTTATTTTACTCAAGCTAAGATAGAATATAGAGATAATCGAAGCACCTGAAATAAAAAGTGAATATAATAAAATAAAAGTAATACATGCACAAGATCCAATAAGATGACAACTAATGAATACAATAGATTTGTCACTTCCCATGAGCATGCTTTTAAAGATTTAATTGCAGACATACACCTTTGTATGTGTCAGGTTCTGATTATTGACATATCTAAAGTGAAAAGTGTCCAAAGTGATAAAGTAAGAGTGTATTTACTCAGTTTTAAGTAGAAATGCGTTATAATGCCATGCTATTTCAATTTTAAACAACACTGGATAAATCTTGTTTCTCACCTTATATATACTTTGGAGAAGTTAAATTGATGATTTCTATACTGTTTTTGTTGTGTGGGAGGTAAGAAAAAAGAAGAAGTAAGAAACATTTGATTACTCTTCAAATATAACATGATCTACAAGCAAGTAAGGTTTCCTGTGTAACACTAACTATAGGTTCTATACTTTTTTTATTCTTTCTTACTTCCAAGTGTACAATACAATCTTTGAATAGCCATGTATAATTGATGGATGAGTTGAGCATGTCATTGCTCTGATGTCATTGTCCACACATGTCGTGCAAGAGATATCGATCCAGCTAAACCACCCTGGATGGATACACATCCAAACCTAGTCATTATCGTTATTGAATATGTTATTTGCGTTCAATATTAAGTATTAATCTATACAATAACCCTTATTTTTTGAGGTTGTTACCTTAAATAACTATTAAATTTGTTGGGGAGGTTATTTTTTATCAGCAGTTGACAGATTACATTCATTCAGCAATGATTTTCACGATGTGGAATCATAGAAATTTAAGAGTAATCTAAAATTTAACTTTCCTGAAATGATTAACGTTAGCTTGCGTGTTCTAACACAAACAGCTAATGTTAGCAGATACAATTGTGTCTCTGTATGTTGATGTCTTTAGTCACCAAATTGGCATCAAAGTTGGTAGGTCATTAATGCAAACCACATGGAATTAAGTAGTGAATATGGTTTTGTAGTACTACTATGTAGTTAAATATGGATGTATGGTACTCATGTGTATAAAAGAAAAGAGAAAAATTATACATCCAATACAAGCATTAGTTACCTTTACATTTAATATAATGGTTTCTTTTGAAAAAGATGGATATTAATGGTCTAAGAAAAAATGAATAGATAAGTAGATGGATTGAAAAGGAAATTGATGTGAAGCAGCTCATGCTAACTCACTGGAAGAGGGCCACGTGTGATGTGAGACACAATTGTAAGAGTAGCATTGATGGATGTAATTGACCAAACGGACTGATAACAAGGGGTGTTCTTGTCATTTCAATAAAAAAAGTGGTCACCAAGCATCATATTTTAACACCAGCCAGTGGTTTCTGCTTAGTTTCTATAATAATGGAATGGCAATTTCTCCTTCATTATTTTATAAGCCTATGCATTAGCTTTTCTTCATTGGAATAGCCTTGTCTTCTACACTCCCCCATGCTCTGAGATTATAATCCACTGAGCTTTTCCAACCTTGGAATTTCCTCAAATCTTGGTAAGGAACCGACTTAATGTTCAAAAACTTCTCAAACTGAAGCCACTGGCTTCATAGCTTCCTTCAAAATTTGCTTCTGGCTTGATCTTTACAAGGGTTTCTCCAAACGGGTTGGTGAAGTAAAGTATATTAAGTTCATACTTCTTGCCCGTGGGCTAATTGAGTCATGTGCTTTAGCATTTCTGGGTTTGATGTCATGATGTGAACGGTTCTTACAGGAATGTATATCTCTAATTGATGTGCATTCTGCTTTGAACCTATGTGCTTATGACACACCTTATGATATAGGTGTGAGTACTGTATCAGGGTAGTTTGATTAACCTTTTCTTGTATAGGTGATATTGACCAAAGAATATCTTTGTAACTTCATTAAACAACAAAAAGAAAAGTACTTCCCATTTGCTGTTTCTGGTTTTGTTGTTTGTGCATCTGTTCTGAGCGAAATTCAAAGCCTTCTTCTTTCAGCTCAGCCAAGTTCAAAACTGAAATGAATTAATCAAATAGAATGGGAAATTTGCTTCACAATGTTTTATAAACGTTATATTTTTCATTAGATTTGGCTGAGGATTTTTCCCTAACTTCTGCAGTTGTTTACTAATTCAATACAATAATAATTGGGCCACGTACATTTGTGCGTGTCTTATTTTTTTAATTTTTTAGGAAATCTGATGTTCATGTTTTGATAATTCCCTTTTCCTTTCTGTATATTTACTCCCTTTTGTTTGGTTAATTCTGGAAATTTCAAAGTATTTTTCTTTCTCTGTTGGCAGAGAAAGATCAATAATCTTTTGAGTTGGTCGATGTTGCTTGGAAATTCTCACTGATTGATTCCTGTTAGTTCTTCATTCTTTTGTCATAAAAAAGAAAATAAGCAGGGAAATGAATTGTTTGACTTGGTATGAGAGTCAATTTGATAATACACGGTATAAGAAGGAGTAGGAAAGTATCTTAACGTTAACAGTGGGCTGACTCTAAACGCCTAATTTCTTTAGGACATGAAAATGTTGTCCTTAAATTCTGGTTCCTATCAACTGAATATTTCATCTGTAGCTTTCTATCTCTTAAATTCATTGTATGCAATTTGCAAGTTGATGATATAGTAACACTGATGCTGTGATTTTTCTGCGCGGACAGAATATGATGTCAAATCTGTGGCTTATCTCCACTCAGAAGAAAGAACCTTAACAATTCAGGACTATATTTCGTCGCCATGAGGATCAATTAACAGCTGTCTCAAGGTTTTGTCCATTTTTCTGTTTCAGTGTACAATCTCCTGAAAGAGATAACTTGAACTACTACAACAGAGTTGAGACCCGGGCAATTCTATAATGCAGGCATCAGAGCAACATAGAAGTTCAAGCATGTACTATCAACCATTACAACAAATTGAAACCTACTGCTTGCCGCAGTATCGGACAATAAATCAACAGCTGTACTACCATGATGGAGGCCATGGAACTCACTTTTCAACTCCAAGTTCTTCTGAACTTTACTGTACGTTGGAGTCATCTTCTGTAGCTGGCAGTTTCACTCTTTACAACTCGCCTTCAACTGTTAGTTTCTCACCTAATAGTAGCCCCATATCGCAGCAAGACTCTCAGTCATATCCAACTGACCAGTATCATTCCCCTGAGAATACCTATGGCTCTCCATTGAGTGGCTCCTGCATAACCGATGATTTAAGCAGCTTCAAGCACAAGCTGAGAGAGTTGGAAAGTGTAATGCTTGGCCCTGACTCCGATAATCTTGATAGTTATGACAGTGCCATAAGCAATGGAAACAACTTTGCTTCACTTGAGATGGACAGTTGGAGACAAACAATGATGGCCATTTCAAGCAAAAACCTGAAGCACATCCTTATTGCATGTGCCAGAGCCATTGCAGACAATGATTTGCTGATGGCACAATGGCTGATGGATGAATTGAGGCAGATGGTGTCAGTTTCTGGCGATCCAATTCAAAGGTTGGGAGCATACATGCTGGAAGGACTTGTTGCACGATTGGCTGCTTCTGGGAGTTCAATATACAAAGCTTTAAGATGCAAAGAACCTGAAAGTGCTGAGCTTCTCTCCTACATGCACATACTGTATGAGGTTTGCCCCTACTTCAAATTTGGCTACATGTCTGCAAATGGAGCCATTGCAGAAGCTATGAAACATGAAGAGAGGGTGCACATAATTGATTTCCAAATTGCTCAAGGAAGCCAGTGGATCACTTTAATTCAGGCTTTTGCAGCTAGACCTGGAGGGCCACCCCACATCCGGATTACAGGTATTGATGACTCACAATCAGCTTATGCCCGTGGTGGTGGACTTCACATAGTGGGAAGGAGATTATCAAAGCTTGCTGAGCATTTTAAGGTGCCATTTGAATTTCATGCTGCAGCTATCTCTGGTTGTGATGTTCAACTACATAACCTTGGAGTTCGACCGGGGGAAGCTCTGGCTGTGAATTTTGCATTCATGCTTCATCACATGCCGGATGAAAGTGTGAGTACTCAGAATCACAGGGATAGGCTGTTGAGGTTGGTAAGGAGCCTATCCCCAAAGGTGGTGACACTTGTTGAGCAGGAATCGAACACAAACACTGCTGCATTCTTTCCACGTTTCCTTGAAACTCTGGACTACTACACAGCAATGTTTGAGTCAATAGATGTGACTCTTCCCAGAGATCGTAAAGAGAGGATCAATGTTGAGCAGCATTGTTTGGCAAGAGACTTGGTCAACATCATAGCTTGTGAAGGGGTTGAGAGGGTGGAACGGCATGAGGTGCTTGGGAAATGGAGGTCAAGATTTGCAATGGCCGGTTTCACTCCTTACCCTTTGAGTTCACTGGTGAATGGTACCATTAAGAAATTGCTTGAGAACTACAGTAATAAATATAGACTTGAAGAGAGAGATGGAGCTCTTTATCTGGGTTGGATGAATAGAGATTTGGTTGCTTCTTGCGCATGGAAATGAGAACTGGGTAATATGTGACTCCTGAAAGTTTGAGGGGGGACAAAGCAGAACCTGTCCCTCGTCATTTTCTGTTCCATTACTATGTAAAAGTTGATGAGAAAGTTCTCAACATTAAATCCAATCTAATTGTCCATTTTCTTTGGTTCAAGCATTTCAATAGAAATTGTAGGTACAAATTTTGTTTTTCAGCAATATTAATCAGTCATTTCAAAATCTTTTCTGGCCCCTGAATTCTGATCACAGCAATGGTTAAATATTATACTTAGTCTCACCGGAGGGGAAAGTGATTTGTAGAGTATTAGGATAGTGGCTTCTGGTAGCTATGCTATCCTGCCATCAAGCATTGTTGTCCATATACATTATTAGATAATAGATATTTTACTTGAAGTGTTAGGATTAAATTAATAAAACAACCCACATGGTATCATTTAAGAAAGGTAACTAAGCTAGTGACATACTGAGAGAAAAGAACATAACTGCAACATATGGTTTGAAATTTGATGAAATTTATCTTTATTACATGGGGAATAGGGTAGGCAATGGGACTAAAATTAACTTTGCTCGGTCACTCCTTTTATTGGTCCAGGGTCTGCGTACTGGAGGAGTTTATGCGGATGTGATCGATCGTTGCTCTGGTGGACCAATCTGAAGGAAAATTCTTGTGTCCTTCTACAGAAAAAAAATTTCTTTCAGGAAAAATATTATATCATTGAAAAGAGGATGTGACTTGCATCATTAGTGGACCTCAACATTTGCAAGTGTCACTTTGTGAAGGAAGAACGAATTTCTTGCAAGCTGACTTGCTCCAGCATGACTTGTAAAGGTGGACGTGACAAAATAATACCAGTGCCAAATAGGAGAATTGCATAAATTAGAAAGGGGATAGTGACAAAAAAAATATATACGCAATCCTTTCAGGAAGGTCTTCTCTCGCTCGCAAGTTGCAAGTCTTACTATATTGTCATTTCAGTGGAAAAAAAGGTGAAAGTCCAAAAATAAAAATTGTAAACAATGTGTAAGAAGAAACCCTCACACTATCTCCATTTCGAGACCTATAAAATTCTTTCTCAGCCTCCAAACATGACACCAATTGGTCTTCTCGTGCACTGGGACAATGTATGGGACGAATCTGTTCATATGATCGGCCTCTATGTTCCAGCATACAGAATAGGTTTTATTGTACCTTACAATAAATCATAAAATACCAACTAATATCCTGTTCTATTCAGTGGGGCATTGAAAATGGTATTAAAGAATGACCCTAAACCACTGCACCAACAATCACACATTTTAACGTATGGAATAACTTTAGCTATATTCTTCTTCAGTTCTGCAACTCACTTTCTAAAATTACATCGAGAAAGGAAGATTAAAAATAGGCACAAAACAAGAATTACATACGAATAACTGAGTATACTCAACGATATATTAGAATTTTAGATAAAAGTGTACGAAAAGGTAAATCTTATTTAACTCTAACAATAATGGTATACAAGTTATGATATCCAATGAAGTATTAATTGTAATTTTCATATTAAGTCAATCTGCCCAAAGACCACGAGAGAACTAGAAAAAGAGTAAAGTGAAGGTTAGAGTTGAAATAGGAATTATAATCCCACAATATATCTGTCAAGCCTGTCATTGTTAAATATTTATATTCTTCCGTAACATCTGCAGCTTCAAAAAAAATATTCCAAATTTAGCTTTGGACCGGTTCTGGATCAGCTGCTGATTGCTTATTAAGTTCGCTTTCTGTACTGGGAGGGTCACGAATGGCTACCTTGTTAAGGCAATCCTTAGTGCCTTCTGATAAAGGTTTTACCTCACCTTTCACCTGTTCATTTGATCTACACGGAACTTCAGAACTAGAATGGCAAATAACATCATTGCTGACAGAATCATCATATTTAGAGCCTGATTTATCTTTTTGTTGTTGCTCACTTAATTTAATTTCACTACCCTCGTAAGAAAGGCTGATCTCGTGAAACTCAGCCATGTCACCGACCTTTGACTTGGTAATTGACTTGTCATTTAGTTGCTCTGTTAATTTGCTTGCTGAGCCCAAGCCACTTCGTTCCCCTCTATCAACAGTAGCACCTTCAGATTTGGTTCCTGCCTTGCCATTAGTGAACGTTGTGTGAGTATATGTATCTCCGTTATGAGTGACTGTCCTTCCAGGGGGGGTTTCATGATCATGTTGTCCCTCATAGGTAGTTATTACAATTTTTGAATCATGAGAGGCCCTTTCCACATGCTTTTTGACAGGGCATCCAGGATTTGAGCATCGATAATAACTTCTGGAATAGAGAGAAAATGCAGTTACATTAAATTAAAACATTTGTGAATGATGTATCCATGTAGGCTCAGAGCATTAGAGAGAGCACATAAGCATCTAAAAACAGTGCAACCAGAAGGAGAAGAGACAACTTGATAAGTGTAACCAGCTGGAGAAGAGGATGCAGTTAGACTGAAGGAATTGGTCGTTCGCAGATCCCCAATATACCAGTTCAGAACTGAAGCATTATCGATACAATTTCTATTGTTTTCTTTTTTAGGCTAAAGAAACACGATACTTCTAATAAAATTGTGCATCTACGTTCATACATTCAAGAGTTTGGCTTGCATCTCAAAACCAGTTTAGGAATGTTAAATCAAGGTTAAACCCATAATATTGAAACAACCAGTTGTGCGGACTTAAGTATTAACCAAATTACAATCCTACTGAAAGTGCATGTGGAAGATACTTCGAAATTAATGTAGACCAAAATGCTATAACCACTTCCTGTTGCTTTCAAGCAGGCAAAGAATAACTCAAACACATCATTAATTTATGGCGACAAGGTTTCAGGCCAGCTCATCCAAAGCAAAGTGCTATGGATCAAAGTAAAACACATTATAACCCACACAATGGCAGAAAATAAGACTGTATTTTGAAATGAAAAGTTAACATGTACCGTGGGTTTGCATTCCCTTTAACTAGCTTCTGCCCATATTTGCGCCAGCGATACCCATCATTTACCAAATCAACCTCACTTGAAGTCTGAACAACAATACGAGATTCCCGAGTTGACATGTTAACTCCAGTGACATCCGCATTACTATTGTCTTTCTTCCTGCTTGGTATCAATTTGCCAGTAAAGGTTAGCCATCCCATACATATGAACACAAATTTTTAAAAATAGTGATAATAACGTACAGCCGCTTTGACTCAGGATCCTCATTGTCATGAACCAGATTCCTTTCCTTAGCTAATTGTAAATGTGCAGCTTTCAACTCATTAACTGGGGACACTTTTGTAGGGGGAAGGGACTGTAAAGGCTTGATCTGTTGAGGCAAACATCCTTGTTCAACGGATGTTTTGGCTTCATTAATGATGTCATAAAATACATTAAGATCTTTTCTATGGAAGTATAGAAATCAAAGTAGTGACAAAGTTTACTGCTCACCTTTCACATTGACTAACAAGGGCTTGCGTGCTGCTTGTTGAACAACTGGCACAACACACTCGACTGATACTGTGGAGTTCAATTGAGGTCTAGGATGATTATGCTGTCCGATACAAACACAATCTGTGATATTCCCATTATTTGACTGCTGCAATTGTTTTTTGGCCTGGCAGTTTGGAAATGTACACTTGTAATAGCTCCTAATAAATTCATTCCCCTTGACGTGTTTCTGGCCATATTTTCGCCAGTTATAGCCATCTTTTGATACCTTTTCACGTATTATAGAGGGACTTTCCTGACTGGATTGCAATGGAGGCAATTCATTCAAAAGAGTATCAGGGCTCTGAAAATGTTTCTCAGGTGGTAATGAGCACGTGCTTCCTTCTTGATCTGATTCCAAGGCACAAGCAGTAGCATCAGAATCCTTCCCCTCGTCATTATTTGCTACAATAGAAAGAGTACTTGTTACTCCCTCTGGTCTAGAAAGATCATTTTTAGTAGCATGACCTTGTGACAATGTAACATCACTATCAGGACTCGCTCTGTGCTGCAATTTATCAGAAGGGATATTTTGATCCGCACTTTTGTCTGAAGAAACCATGTGAAACTCTTTCTTATAAATCAGAAGGAAACAGGTCTAGTTTCATTAACTGCTTCCATGAATGTCTTGAATATGGCTAAGCAATGTGCGCTTGTGGCTGTTCAAACCTGACACTGTAAAGCTATTAACAAAAACACAAAGTTAGGCTCCCTGTAACAGAAATATCATTAATAGCTATAGCATGAACAGTGGGTCGAGATTTTTTTTTTTTCTCATCCGTGTTCCCTTTGTAGAACTTTTTATCAGTTAAGTTAATGTCAACCCTGTTCTAAGCGAAAAATTGCGGAAAGTTTGCATTGGAAAAAAAAGTATTTACCGCACTTTATGTTTTTCCTATGTAAGAACTAACAAATATTTTCTAATAAAAACTTTCTCTACTTTTACTGCTCAACAACTGATGTTAAAAAACCAAACTTTTATTAGTAGAAGAAGCAGCATAAAACTATATTTTAACATGCGAAATCATTCATTAACCCATGATGGACCAAATACTATATCTAAATATTCCAAATCGGAGTCTTAACGCCATATATACAAACATACACATGCATAATTAAAGCCCAAATAATTTCCAATCGACAGAAGCTGAAATCTCAAACAAAAATTGAATTTCCAGGTCCTGCTTTGAGATCACTTTTACCATACTCTACTGAATTATCAGTTGAGCAATCCAATTGCAAACATAATATTTAGAGATAGCTTATTCGTTATTCTTTATTCTGTGTCTGAAATTAAGCCAACGCAACCAAATCCAGCGGAAAGAGTGTTAGGGTCTAAAAAAAAAAAAACCCGCTATTCCACCTTCTCTCAAAGTAACCCCTAACCCACAGAAAAGTCCCACCTCGACTTCAGTAAGTTCAGATTAAAAAGGGGTTGAATTAAAAAGGGAGAATAGAGGTGAGTGAAATTGAATTTTGGGGAATATAAAGAGAAAGATAGCACATGTGAAGACATTACTTACCCGGAAAACAAGAAGAGGGAGTTGAGTTGAGTAAAGAAATGTTTATTTGTTGCAGAAGAAAATGTTGTCGATGTTGCGGGTATGGGTGGAAGGAAGCAATGCAATGGCAGTGAGTCCAATGTAACATCCTTATTTAATTGACCCAAAAAACAAGGCAAAAGGTAACAAAAGTCCACTCTCTCTCTCTGGTGTGTTATTAATTTTAAAGTGACACGCTGACACACACAAACACAGAATATGCTTTTGTGTGCTTTCATTTCATTTGTCAAGTCTGTAATCTACTCTTCTTGTTTTTTCTTATTCTCTCCCTCTCAGAAATTGGACTTCAATCCTCTACCCACCATGGGCTACATTATCCAATTGGGCCTATTTTATAAAACTAATATTCTTTTGTTTTTTTTTTTACATTAATTATTTTTGTTTTATATCATTCATATATGTAGAAATTTTGTGCGCAGCGCCATATTTTCGATTTTAATTATTCAAATAACATAATATAAGGTTTTATTTAGCACAATTTTTTTAACTGAGAATTCAATTTTCTGATATACAAAACTAAACATAATTGAATTTTTTTTTAACTATTTCGAATTTGATTTACAAACAACCGAATTTGAATTGATTTTTCTTTTTTCTTTTTTTACTAAGAAAGAAAAACTAACTATATATATATATATATATATATATATATATATATAATATTTTATTTAAAATTTATAATTTTAAATCATAATTTTAAAAAGATTTATATATTTATTAGATTAATAATATATTTATATTTATTGTTGAAAGTAATAAAATATATTATTAAATATTATATTTATATTTTATTTGTGTGGCTAATTTTTTTTTAATTCTTTGATTTATTTGATATTATAATATTTTTTTAGAAATTAATAATAAATTAGGAGGATAATGAAAATCTTAAAAATTAGATGTATATAAGATGAAATAATATTTTTATGTAAAATTATATTTTTTAAATGTATTTTTTTGTATTTTATAATATTTTAGAATATATATATATATATATATATATTATTTAGAAATGAAAATAAGTTATAGATAGAAAAAATAATATATTAATATTTTTGAAATTCTTGGTACATTAAATAAAAAATTTGTGAATAAAAAAATATATGTAAAGCTATAACTTTTTATTTAAAATTTATAATTTATGCAATTTGAAATTATAGTTTTAAAAAGAGTTATTTGTTTATTAGATTAACAATATATTTATATTTATTGTTGAACGTTGTAAAATAGTATTTTTAAATGTATTATTAAATTTATTAGAAATATTAAATAATAGGAGATGGAGAAATAAATTAATTAAAAAGTACAAAACCATGAAGTATATTTTTTAATAGTGTTATTAAGTTGAATTGTACTAAGTTAACCACAATTGATGATATATATTAGTCTTTTTGATGTTATGTAATATTGTTAGTTTTACTATATTTGTGTGTTGTAACACTTTTGGAAATAAAATTGTGTTACTTGTTAAGATTTTCATAATTTGTTAAATTTATATTAATATCTTAAAAAATTTAGTCCATTGTTTTTATTGTTTAAAATACTACAAGAAAACATGATTATCTCATTTTTACCACACTCGTAACCCCACTCATAAGTTGCAAAAAGTCACACTCCTATTATAAATTTCAACTTTCTTAAGTTATTATTATACGGTTAAAGAATAATTTATAGTAAAAATATGTTTAGACTAAATGAAATATATATTTAAAATGTAAAAGAAAAAAATTAAGATGTAAGTGAATAGAACTTTTATTGAATGGATGAAAGATAATACAAAAGTTTAATACAATTAATAATGGGATATGGATCCTCTAATGTCAGGGTTGTGAGGATAATGATTTCTTGGTGTTTTATAGTATGAACACTTTCGTGGGTATCTCATTCCCCAATGTCCATCTCAGTCCTAATTCTAGTTGATTTGGACCAATATTTTGATGAGTCATTATATTTTCATATTTTCTTATTTTTTTTATTTTAATTAATGTTTTGGGCTTAATTGTCTATTATTAGTGAATTTTTATTAATTGGACTTCATTGGACCAATAATTCAGATTTTAATTAATTTGAATCTATTTGATCTAATTTTTTCTCATTATTATTTTCAAGACAGTTTAAAGCAATTTTGGGCTTGGAAGATTGGGTTAGATGTCATGTCAGTTGTCCATTAAGATTAAGGTTTTTGTTTTATTTATCATTTTTTCTACAGAGCTCCTAAAATCATGATTATGTAAGCATTATAAACTAGACACATTCAGCTTTTCAAAGGATCCATAACCATTCAATTCGGAGCTAAATTGGATTTTACATAAATTATCAAAAAGGGGTTAAGCGCACCAGGGCGACCCAGTGGACATGCTTCAGTAATTTAAGTCTCCTAAATTTACTAGACCTTCTAAAATAGTAGAAATGGTGACATTTTAAAGCTAACTCAAAAAACATTCAAAGAATACCAGAATCGTTGAATTTGGATAAGTATTGAAAATACTGCAGGTGTTTGAATTTTGTGAAACTGCACTGAAGTCAACTTATAATGTGTTTTGTGGGTCAATGGGCCCAAACCTAGAGAAAACATTGTCCATTAGGATTAGGGTTACTTATGTTAGTGATCACGTAGCACATCACAGATTCGCATCCTTGGAACGCCAATTTCGTCTTCTACATTTTGTATTCAAGTTTGTTTACTCTTCTGTCATTATTTTAAATTCTTGTTTCGATTTTAATTATGTCTCTTCTTTTATGTTTTCGATTTTTCATGGATAGCAAAATCTTTGTATTGATTTTCTGAGAAGAATGCAGTAGATCATTGAGGTTTTGTTCTTCTATTTCGTTTGTTCTCTTAACTCTTCATCTCCTAATCTCAGTGTTGAATTATAATCTATTTATGCTTAATAAACCAAAACCAATATCACAATTTGTTTAATCTTGTTTTAGATATGAGATTATGTGATGTATGCAATGTTTAATTGTATAACGATAATATGGGTTAATCTTCGCTTAGTTGGTTAATTTCGAGGTTGGAAGAAGGGTTAAAACAATTTAATTTCGTAACCTAGGATAAGTGACACTCGCATTCGAATCGGAAATCAATTATTTTCTCATTGTTTTATTTAAATTCTATTTTCGTTAATTTACTATTTATTATTACGCAAACCCCTTTTCTTTTCAAATTTAATTACTGCACTATTTTATTTTAAAGCAATTCTTTATTCTTGCAAATTTAATTAAAAGTACTTTATTTTAATTTTATAAATTTTAGTTATTTAAATTCTACATCAATTTATTTCTCTTTCACTCTTTCATTCATACTTTATTTATTATTTTAGATAATGATATATGGTAATGAGTATGTTCCTATAATTGTGTCTTTGTGATTTTCGACACGAGTTAACTATACTGCATTAGTTAGGAACTTGTTTATTATTTTTGATCAATATTTTATGCGACCGAAGTGTTGTTATCACCTTTTGAACTCCTCGTGGTTGGATTTGGCTAAACTTATGAGCCTTCATATGGTGACCAATATTGTTCATGTCTTAGCTCCCTAAATATATGGTCATACACTTTCATGACGACATCCAACCTATAGTGGGGACTAATGTATATGTTGAAGTCATGATGAGCATGCTTGCAAGTTGCTAACACATAAGAACATGATATATGAATTTTTTTAAACTTCCCATAATCACACCATCGTTTATCCAACCTAACAACAAATATACCCGGAGGACGTATTTCTCTTGGGTTGACCATTTCCTTCACCCTGAATCTTGTCGTATTCCTATCAAATTCAACCACCCTGTGGGTATTTAATTTTGAATCACCATCTTGTAGGACCTTGGTGGCATTTTTAAAATAGACATGACCAACACTTATCATTACAGTTATGTGCTTCTCTCTTTCTATGAAGAAGGTGTTGCATATGGTATATGTGGTCAATACTATGGAGGAGATTGGTAGATTTCTTGTTTTCTTCAAGACTGAGTTGATGGCTTCGGCCAGA